AATAATGTCGAATATTCTTCATTCAGTTTTTCTGCAAGGTCACTTTCATTTGCATTTCTGTAACATAACATGTGGAACATAATCCACTCAAAATAAACTTTCATTTGGAGTAACTATTAAAAATTTTTTGGATTTTATTGCATTTTTGACGTAAATATTTCAAATAGAGTTGTTCATACGTTCTGATGTTTGTTATGTTTAGTTACGAATGTTATAAACGATAAACAAAATCTTACTCACACCTGAATATAACTGAAGACCAATAGAATCTTAATATAAAAAATACAATGATGTTATCTTATGGTGTGACAGCACACTGAAATTTTTTCAAAAAAAAGTATCTTTTTTTTGCTAAAATAATTTTTCTAAATTAGAAGTTTTAAAAATTTTCATCAACTAATACAGTAACTTTCAGCACATACTAACATTGAAGCTTCAATCGCGTTTTCCGGAAAATAATAATTTTCAATTTCGTTTTATTTATTCTTCAGAAACTATTCATCCGAGATCTAGATTGTTGTCGATCAAGATGAGATTATAATTAATTAAGTTCCTTTAAGTGTCATATAGAATGCTTTCGATTTTCACAATTTACCGTGGCAAAAATGTAATGTTTAAGGTGTCTAAATATTCCTAAAAAGTAAGACAATAATGCATTTTTACTTTCTATTAGAAGATGAAGAAAAATTCAACTTGTCAGCGACTAAAAGTATATTTATCTATTTTGAAAAAATCAACAAAATTACCATGTTTTAAAAAATATGCAAAATCTAAAACAAAAAATTGCACTAGCATAACATTTACACCTTATTTTATTATTTTAAGTTTTAAGTGTCTAAGTGGGGCTTGAAAAGCTTTAATTTTAATGATAAAGTTGATGACAATTTGTTTTAAAATTTATCAATCCCATTATTTCGGAGAAGTGACTTAAAATAAGCTATCAAACTTTATATAAATTTTTAAACAATGTAAACTAAAAATCAGAAGAAAACTTGATAAACCAGTTTTTTATAATAAAGAAAATTTAAAAATTATGATTAAATTTCAAACTTTTATTTCTAAAAGGGCATCATTATGAAATCTCATAATTAAAAATTTTTAAATCCTTTAATCCATATTATCTTCTATTTATAAAAGTCTTAATATAAATTAGTCTTTTGAGTTTTGATTTCTATAAATCTACTACTAGCATAACTATTTTATCAAAACAATGTGTTAGTTTTTTTTTCGATTTAAAGTAATACTTTTTTAATTTAAAAAAAAATCAAAACGTATACAGTGTTAGAAATTGCAGCTTCATAATGCTTCGTAAAATGTAATGAGAATGCACATCATGCAGCATCTATATTAACATTAATTAAAAAATTTCTTACCTAATAAAACGGTGAGAGTATGCAATGATACTTTTTCATCTTTTTCAAAAGTATTTGTAATAGATTGGTGGTCTGCATGCATAATGTTACACAAGACAGATAGATAGTATATTTTTCTTATATTCAATGAATGTCTATTTTCTAAGTTCAAAATAATGCATGCTAAACATATTTCTTGAGTCACATCAGTCAAGGATGTTGTAAAAAGCCATTTTCCGGAATGGTTTTCTTGGAGTTTACAATTTAACTGATAGTCTTCCATTGACTGAAAAAAAGAAAAATTAAATTTTCGTTATAATAATTTTTTTTAAAAAAAAGTCATTTTGAGAATAAATAAAAACTTTCACTTTCATAGACATGAAAAATAATACGAATGCATATTTAGGAATCAATTAGTAATTTTTTAAACAAATGGAATTGACAAGACTAAAAATATTAAAAGAAATGCTTTTTATAAATTACACAATAGTACAAATTATTTTTGGCTTATAAATTTGGAAAAACAGCAACTGAAATTTTACTCAATGGTTTCCCATATTCTCCTTTCGCTAGTAACGGAGATAATTTTTCAAAGGTATTTTTAATTTCAGCATTTTGTACTTCTTCTTACATTAAAGAAATCCAATCCAATTTTTCCTTATTATTTAAGAATATGAGTTCAGATTCTATGAAAGCAGTTATTTTTTGGATTATATGTTAACTTAAAACTTATATTTTCAGTGAAAATAAAATACCTTCTTAATTTTACATATAATATAAATTTCTGATGAAAATGTTAAAAATAATGTGAAAAGAAAAAAACAAAAGCGAGTACTACTTATTTGAATCAAAAACACTATTGAAGAATACGTTAAAAATGCAATTTTTGAATCAGATAAATCATACAATTAAAAAAATTTTTGTGTACTTTAAGGATAAATATTTTAAGTAAAAATAGTTTCACAACTAAGGTTTAGAGTTTAAAATTTTAATATTAAGCTTATCTTAATTAAGTTTTAATTGAAAAGGATGATCTTAATTTTTCTATAACGGAAAGTAAAGCACAATCGCCCCATGTAAAAAATAGACAACTTCTTGAAAATTCATTTATTTTAAAATCTTATTTTTCCTATCATTATAAATCATATTTTTGTACAGACAGATATTTACTGTTTAAGAAAATCACATACGGTTTTGAAAAATTATTCTAAATATTTAATTTAATCAAATTGGTGTACCGTATTTAGATGTACAAAATAAGTATTGCTTATCATTTTTTTTTGAAAATAAAAGCGCAGAGCACTTTCTGAAATCGAAAAACAAGACAATTACTTACGGTATGAATAAAATATATAAAATTCAAATTTTTACAAATAAAATATTATGGAACATTTTCTTACTTATGGTTTGCTATATGTCCGTCAACTGACATATTTCGACATTTTATCAATTAAATTAAAATAATTCATTCGAAAATTAAACCTGTAAATAAATTTTTTTTTAGAATTTAAACATTGAGAAATTATAGTCTATAGAGTAACTAAACCATTTATGCATGAAAAACTAATACCTCTTAAGTAATCGTTAAATCCATCATTTTCCACACGTTAAGGTGTTAGCTTTCTTGCAATAAGTAGCCAATTTACAAAATGTTATTCAATAAAAAAGATAGCTTGTAGCAGTAAAATAAATTGTTTCAATTTTGACCGGAGTCGTAATGCATGAAACGTTAATAATAATTTTATATCGTTAATTTTTAATTTTTATGTTTTATAGAAATATAATGTATAAAATGTTTTTTAATTGTATCAGTTGTAATTTTATGGCAATATGCTGAGCTCTTTATTAATCTTTAAATTTTATTTTAGCATTTAAATTAGATAGCGAAGAAATTTGGATAATTGCTTTTAATTAAATAATCATGCAAGATGTGGGAAAAGCCAAAGAATAGTTAAATATGCCGAGAAATATTGATTCAATTAAAGAAAAAAAACTTTAACGTATTCAATACTTTTCAGAAAAACTGTTTAACAATGATGGTAAGATTAACCCCACACTCACGGACAGATTTACAAATCTATGGGTTCCGAGCGAAAAGACATTTGGGGCCCTTTAAAAGATTCGACAAATTTTATTTAATATGCATAGTTTTTAATCACAAAATCAAAAGATAATTTTTTAAACAGCAAATCGCAAACAATATGTAGCTTTATTTAAAAATACGTCATATAGAAATTCTAAATTTAATTAAGCTAAACTATGATAAAGAAAAATACTACCTAAAATTTAATTGCTGTTGAGAATGATGAAAACTATGTAAGCAACAAGATATTTCATAAGTAATTTGGGGCCCCTGGGCGTTTGACCTGAATGCCCTATCGTAAATCAGTTCTTGACCACGCATTTTTTTTCTCGGTCGGAGGAAAGAGAGGAAAAAGTCAAAATTGAAGACTTGTATTTGTGAAAAGATTTCATTTTTCTAAATAAATATTTTTGTTTAGCGTTAGTCGAAAACATTATGACTAATTAAAGCGTCATTATGACTAATTAAGCATTATGACTAATTAAGCACATTATGGTTAGCGTCATTTCTTCTCAAACTATTTCACTGATCAACAACCCTGGCGTTAAATGTCGTTAGATTCTTCCTTTCAATTATTTTCATTTATAACTCCTCATCGCTGTCAAGTGACAGGATTTTTTCTTGGCAAAACTGAGGTTGAACTGTGGGAGTGACTTTTTTGTAAGAGGCTTATGACATATCTCTTAGAAAGTTCGCTATACGACAAGAAAAAGTTAGTTTCTGATGAAAAAAATAGGGACACTATTCTACTTTCCTGCTTTTACATATAACTTGATTAAGTAAGAAATTAATATTCAGTAGATTAATTTTTCTGTAAAAATATATGTTTCATTTTTTCCTTTATCTTTTCTGGAATAGCAACTGAAAATGTAGTATTTTAAAGTTAACAGAATTCTAGCTATTTTTTCTGTCTTTCAATGTATGTTCTAAATAATTTTAGAACATCAAACTGTAGCTGGTCAGCAATAGTTTCTTTGTAAGTTAGACTGATGATTATGTAACAGATGATGACAGTCACTCTCCCATTTACTGACAGAAAAGTAAGACAAAATGATTTTAACTACTTATTTGAAAACTGAAGGTCTTGTTCTGCTTAATTCAAGATCACAGAGAATAAGTTAATGACGCTTGAATTAAGGGATCGTATACGATTTACCATTTTCATTTTAAGGACAAAAATAAATGAATGAAATGAGGTCTATCATGATCATTGACACCAGACTTGAATGTCTCATGTGAGTGGTGAGATCAGAAAGGAAGAATATAGAATTATTTTTAGGAGAGTCGATCCCCGAAGAAAGAGAAAGGAAGATTCAAACCAGCAACTTAAATAGATCAGGGCAATGGGAGAAAAGTGGTAGAAGCAGATTCCAAGGGATGGTGTTGTAGGTATGACCCAAAAATGGAACAGAAGACAGTAACGTCATCGTTCTATGTTCCCCCTTTCTCTACGGCGGATCTTTCCCCCCTCCTCCCGTTCTATTTGTTCTAAAGATGCTGGCAAGTGTTTTGCTCTGTTTAGGAAAGGATTCCACTGCCTCCTTCCTCACCCCCTAGCAAATCCTCCAATAGCAGCAAGAGTTCCGATTTGCATCCTTCAAACACAGGGCATTGAGATATTTGATAGCCTAGGTTTATAAGAGCCCGCGGCCATTAAACTAGCACAGAATAGCTCTCGAACGTGTAAGTGACTTTACCTATTCGTCTATGACTTTTTCTATGTAATTGTTTGCTTGCACTATTGATTTGGATCAAGTAAATATATATGATTCAAGATTTTTGTGTTTAACCTCTTGGATACTGACGGATCAACAAGATTGTTTCTATTACTACTCATTGGATTATCTTTGATTTCTTCAACCAATAATATTAAAACCTTTCCTTGTGTTCCATGTAATAAAGACCTTTCACTATTTCTACCCTACACCACTACCAATCCATTACCAATTTCTTCACCTACCCCAATCACCACATACACATATTATCCTTTAAAATTAATGCATGAATCTATTTTAGAATTATTTAAATATCCTTTTTTTTTTAAAGAAATTCCCTCTTTTGAAAAATGGGTATAGTATGAAGATTACATTTTCCTTTGAAATATTTCTCTGCTTAACGCTAATTGCGATTCTAACCTTAAATTAAATTTCAATATTTTAAGATGTCTAAGAATTCTAAATTTTAGTACTTAAATAAATATATTCAAGGCAGTATTAAATGCATTAAATGATTCAGCTAAATTTACTTTGTAATTTATAATATTTCCCAAATTTATACCTTTTGTAATGCTAAAATATTTTTTTACAATTACTAGGTTTTTATAATTTTAAAAAAATAATAACTTTATAAAAATTAAAATTTTGGAAATTTTGCATGTATAAAAATCAAATTCAATATATTAAAAACACAAAGTTTTATAAGCTTTTCTTAATGGATTTCAGTTTTTTCTTTGTAATTTGGGACTAATGCTAAATTTAAATCAATTCTCTCAGCACTTAATAAAATTAACTTTATTTAGTTTCTTTTCACACAGAGATTGACTCAAATTTACTTATTGCAAAAACATTTTTAAATACTTTTTCAAAGATTAATGTTGTAAAGAAAAAACACGGTATATTGTTTTTCTTTAATTGTCTTAAAATTTACCAAAAAGTGAATAAAAAACTTCGAAGTAAAAATAATCCTAATAAAAAATCAAATGACGCATTGCTTGCTGCTCCTTAATTTAATAGTAACTCATATCTTGTATATTTGACAACAAATTTGTTTAAATCGAACTTGAAAAAAAAAACATTTTTAATTCAATAAGAAGAAAAAAATAACTCTCGTGTGAAACAATTAACGTATATAAATAGCTCGAATTATATTACTTAGCGAATTTCAAATTATATTGCTGATCAAGTAAAAAAATACTTTTACTTGTCCAAAATATATGAAAGCTCATATTTAGACGAATATTATGCATGCAGTTCTTAACAAGTAATATCAAAACAGCCCTTGTCTATTTTCTTATAATTATAATCATAATTAGATATTAAAATTGAATAAACTGAGATTATTCCTCTTGTTAAAAAAAAGGAAAACGTAATTTCTTTAATCTAAGTTTATTTGAATTTTGTTTAATTATCATGAATAAATTATGTTTTACAAGAATTATTCTCCTAATTAAATATTTTTATTGCTTTAGAACGAGGGTTTAGGGCTGTTCTAGTCAGTGGAAGAGCGTTCTATTTTCTTTTTCTAACTTCGAGTATCAGAAAGAAGTCAAAATGGCCGCAGAAGATCCTGATCCAAGCCCTTATCTCTACGTTTCTATGGAACAGAAACGTATTGATCAAACTAAACCATATGATGGCAAAAAGATGGTATGGGTAGTTGATGAGAAAGAAGGATATGTTATTGGTCTCATTAAGGAAACCAAGGGAGACATGTGTGTCGTCGAAATCGAGAAACAAGAGGTTAGTTCTATTTAAAAAAATTAAATTTGTATTATAAAATTAACGTATTTTAATTGCAAATTAAATTAATGCATCTTCAATTTGTTATAAAAAGATAAATTAAATAGAATAATCATAAATTTATTGCATGAAATTATAAATTTCACTTAAGTATAACTTTCTCTAATGCTCTAATATTAATTTAAATTAGAGTAGAAAATGTTTTTTATCTTATAAATCAACTAAACTATTATTTATTGAAAAGCAATTAAATTAATGGTTTAAAGTAATATCTTTTAATAAGAAAATAAAATAAAAATCAAAAATAATACAGTGTGAAAATTTTTTCAAAACAATTTCATCAATTAGTTTTCAATGCTGTAAGTTATTTAGTTTCTTAGTAAATTTTATTTATTTAGTTAAATATATATTTTAATACTTATCATAAGTAAAAAAAACATAACATTAATCTGAAATGAAAAAGCAAAACAAAATAAAAAAATTTCTTATTAAAATTAGCTTGAGAAAATAATTTTTTTTTTAGTTAAATATAATTCTAAAAGTTTTACATGAAAAGTAATAATGATATTTATATCTATAAATCCAAACGATATCGAAAATTATTTGTGTTTTTTATAAAACTTTTTTGAATCAGTAGAAGAAAAATTTATTACAATTTGCTACTTAATTGCAAAATAGGAATTTAGAATCAGAATGCAAAATATTGCAACTAGATAAGTTTTTAGAATTTTAGAGAAATTATTATAAATTCTTTGATTTTTTACTTCAAAACTTTAAAAAATTTATGAAGGTAAATACCTATTACGTTACAATGTTACATATATAAATTGTTCTAAAACACAAGTCCAGCGATATTATAAAATAAATTTGTCGAAACATATAGGACAAAGTATTTGAGAATTCGAATTTAACATTATAATTGATGATTTTTTTTTAAAGACTAATATTCTTTGACTGCTCGTGAAAGATTATTGTTTCTCAAAATTTATATAAAATATTAAAACAATGCTCATTTAATTATTATAAAATATAACTAGATTGAGACAATGTACTTACTTCTTGTAAACAACAAAAAGTTCTTTCTATTGTAAAAATTAACAGAGAAAATGCAAACTATTTTTTCTCTCAAATTTTGTTGAATCATTTTTATGGCAAATAAAATATTCAATCATAAAATCTTTTGAGTTATGGTATTTTATGAATCATAGAATTTCAGAATGTCAATGCACAAAAATGACAATTTTTCTTTTATAAATTTATCACAAACTAATAAACAGTGTTTAAAAAATAAATATTGCTAAATATTTTTATACACATTAATGATTGCAAACATTTTTCTGCTAATTTTTTATTATCGTTTGCAGTTTTAAATATTGAAAACGAATCAATATAATTTTATCTTTTTAGTTCGTTATCAGTCTTAAATCATTTAGAGCAATACGGTTTGCTATAAAATTGTAGAATAGTTATTTATTACTTGATTTCTTTTCTTAAACTGTATTCAATGTTAACAAAATTATTGAACTAGCTGTTTTTTTTATCAAACATCAGGTAAATTCTAAGAACTTCTTTTAATCTTATTTAAAATTTCAATACATGTATTATCATTTCAAGATATGGTGATAAATATATTTTATTAAATCTGTCATTATTCTTGCCATAGAACCGCACCGTCAAGAAAGATTTATTGCAACAAGTCAATCCACCAAAGTATGAAAAAGCAGAAGATATGTCTAACTTGACATACCTTAATGATGCTAGTGTATTACATAACTTGAAACAACGTTATGTTGCTCAGCTTATCTACGTAAGTATAATTGTCTTTTACGATTTTAAGTAAATTAAATAGTAAAATAAAAAATAATGAATTTTTGTCATTATAAATTTGAAAAAATTATGCACCATTATATTCCCTGTGTTAACTATAAAAATTATTCTTTCAATTCATTTATTTTTTTAATAATACTTTATTTTTTTATTATATTTTTTAATTATCGAAATTTTTTAATAATTCTCAAGGTAATTATTTGTCTGAGGTATGCTTTAAAAATTAAAAAGGCTTTCCGTGAAAGATAATTCAATGACTTTTAAATTTTTTTTATTAAAATACTTTATTTTTTAAATTAAACAAAAAATTCTTTGTACATTTGAAAGCGCCTATTTCTTTGTAAAAAATTAAATATTTTTGTCTCTTACTCTTAATCCATCAAATATTTTCTGCCAGCCAAAATCAATAAGAAAGTTTAAAAAAAGAACATCGCGTGAAATAAGAGATTGCAATTCTACGTGAATTTGATCAATTATTTGCAGAGTTATAGTTGTAAACATCACTTGACTTTTAGACTCGCCTTGGTGCCTTCAAAAATAAATCAGCTTTTTCGAAAATTTCTCTATTTCTAAATTTTGATGGGAAGGAATACGTACTTCCGAAAAGAAAAGATATCAGTTAAAAAAACTAATATTTCGTTTTTCTAATAATTAATTACAGCTATACAATAATATTTTCATAAGTTTATGCTTTCAAAAGCCATAAATGTTACGCAATGTTATATAAAGCGTATATAGTTGTAATGTCCCACGAATTCGAAAACTGTGATCGTTTCTCTTTATTCACTTTTATGTTTAATAACTAGTTGTGTTTGAGAACATATCAATTTTATGGGCTAAAAAATAATTTCATACCTAATTGAAAGAATAAATTATTACAGTAAAAACATTAATCTAAAAGTCATCCATCATAAATTTCCTTTCACGCTGTTCGAATTATTATAGACGTATCTTGTTCTGAAATAATAATTTAAAAAATAATTTTTATAGATATCAATAAATAACTAATAAACTATATTATCATTTATTATGTTGCGTCAATGATAAATGACAATTGTTTCAGCAAATTTATCTGCTTCTTCTATTCGTAGAATTTAGAAATATTCTATCTTAAGCAGTGCGTTAAAAAAATTACTCTGCCATTTTCGCTAAATTCTCAAACTATAGCGGTAAAACAAGTTGTAACGTTCGAAGCTATATATTTTAAGTTCATTGGAGCGTACAATTTTGAAAATGGCAAATATGTTTTCCCAATCTTAGAACTGATTTTATAATTTTCAGATTTCAATTCCTGTCTTTAAAATGTGTCATCAAGGTACTTCTTATTGTTATAAGTTGGAAATTTTTTCAAAATTTAAGAACTGAATTTAAACATACTTTAAATTAAGATATAAATGGCGAATCATTTAAAAAAAAGTTGATTTACAGAATAGAACATGTAACTCTAGAGCTAATTTAACAATGAAGTTAAATATGTTACTGGGTGAATCAAATTTTCCTTAAGTAACACAAGTTAACTTTTCAAGTACATCAGGCTAACTTTTTCAGTTAATCAAGTTAAGTTTCCCAGCTAAACAAAGTAACTTCACTACCAAACAAAAGTTTTAAAATTATATATATATATATTTTTTTATATCGTTCTATAAAAATATTAAAGTATAGGTTTGATTTTCCTTTCAGACCTATTCCGGGCTTTTCTGTGTTGCTATTAACCCTTACAAGAGGTTCCCAATTTACACTCAACGATGTATGGCACTGTACAGAGGCAAAAGGCGTACTGAAGTTCCTCCCCATTTGTTTGCCATTTCTGACAATGCCTACACTGCTATGTTAACAAGTAAGTAAGAAAAAGAAAGAAAGAAAGGAAAACCAATAAATATCTGAAGTCAAAAATTTTCTCATCTGCAATTTACTTAGAAATTTTGGCATTCATTTAATTCATCGTTTAAATTAAAGTTCATGTTTCTTCGTTATTACGGGAAACAAATTTTTAAATAACGTGAGTCACATTTTAAAAAAATCAATAAAGGGGCAAAAATTCAATCAGGGGATTTTTTTGTTATTGAGGTTTTAGATATAACAGCCAGTAATATTATTTATACAATAGGACAATAGAAATAATAAATAGTCTTGCGACAAGCCAGATATATTAAATGTTAGTCTAGAACAGTTTCCTAAGGTTTACTCTATTATCATTCAAAGGGTGATATCGGTCATTATTAACCAAATTATCTTTTAAATAACATAAAAACTACCTAATTGAAAGATAATTTTTCCTAATTTAGTAAGAAATATAGTATAATTAATAAAAACTAAAAAGAAGGATTTGTATAAGTATAATTGCTTATAAGTCACAAAAGTTAATTCTATGAAGAAGGACTACGAAAAAAAGCAAAATGGTTTTTCTTGCTAGAGTTGCAGTTTTTATTTCTTATATTTCTTGAAAGGTCTTTAAGAACCGAAGTAGAAAAGAAGCCGAATAAAAAAAAAGTAGAATCGTTGCCAAAAAGAAGGGATAGAAATGCAGTCCATTCACAATGCCATTTTGGGAAAGAGAAGAATGCTATTCTGCGCCAAAGAATCAGATTATTTTTCCGGTCTTAGCTATTATTTTTAGCCCTTTTGGCACGCTTGCCAAAATACTTCTTTTATCTTACCTCTATGAACCCGCTTTTTTTTTTATCCCTTCTCGTTTGAACACGGTATTGAAATTTAGGTCAAACCAGTGTCTTTATGTTTTAACTACTAAAATACAATATGGGTGGGTTCCATCAAATAAAGACATTAAGGATCAAAATGTAGGATTTCCAATAAACTGCTACGCATTTTTGAAATTGTAAAATTTAAATTTTAAAAAATTTTTATAATCAAATAAAAGTTTTTTATAAAAATGAAAATAAACTTTCATTTTACTTTTATAAACTTGCTTTTTATCCTTATTAGTTTGAATGCGTTATTTAAATTTAGGTAAATCCAGTCTCTTTATGCCTTAATTTCTAAAATATAATATGGGTGCTCATTGTTCAAGCAATAAAGTGACTGAAAATTAAAACACATAATTCTGAATTTAATGATACACATTTTAGAATTATTAAAATTTTGAGTTATAAAAATTTTAATAATTTAATAAAATTTTAAAAATACAGATAAAATTTTTATTTCATTTCTATGAATTCGCTTTTATCCCAATTTTGATGGAACATGGCATTGAAAATTATGTCAAATCTGTAACTGCTAAAAAAACAATATGGTTGTTCATTGCTCCACAAATTAAAGAGTAAAAGCACAGAATTTCCTATAAACTGATACATGTCTGCGGAATTTTAAAAATTAAAATTTTTAAAAAACTTTCTTAACTAAATAAATCTTTCCGTCACTACTCAATAAACTTGTTTTATGACTTCTTGTGCGAAAGCAATATTAAAATTCAAAGCAAACACATGTCTTTATGTTTCAACTGCTAAAATAAAATGAAGTTTCTTGAATTGATAAAGAAATTCAGAATAAAAATTTAGGATTTGCAGCGAACTAACTAAACTATACTTTCGAGAATTTTCAGTTTATATGGTTTTTAATAATTAAATAAAATTTTAACAAAGGAAATAAATGAAACATATAATCTGAAAGACAGGTTACATTATATAAAATAAGATTTGTTAACAGTTAAATTTAATATGAATTTCTAAAATAATACTAATTAGATTTTCTCATAAAAAGTGTTTGCTCTGAAAAATTATAAATAAAAGTTTGCTTTGTAATTCCTTACATAATGCAATAAAATGTTCTACCCTGAAAAAGTCTTTGTGACTAAGTATGTTTTAAGATCAGTTATTATTATATAATAAAACAAAAGTTTTCTTAAAATGTATCTGTGTTCCTAAAATATGCTTAACCCATAGAAACTTTTTTCATCTTTTGAGATTATAGATAAATAATGATAGTATTTTAATAACTATAAGAGTTATCTAATTATAAATTTAAATTAAATAGCTTTAATAACCAATAATACAATGAAGTTACATTAAAATATATCTGTGTCCCTAAAAAATACTTTGCAACAGAGAAGTTTCGTCTTTTGAAAATATGTTTGTCTTATAAATTCACAAATAAAGTATTTTAGTAAGTAACTTAATAGTATAATAATAAATAATTTTAAATTTAAAACAATTTTAAAATTAAATAAAGTTGCGTTAACGAAGAATAATTACTTAAAATAGTTTTACATGAAAAATAAATATTGTCGGATCTAAAGGTAATAAGCATATTGCACACAATTCTAAGATATACAATTATGTATTTTATAACCTGTAAACTATCTAGAACATAACTCCAAAAAATAGTTTTATCTTACTTTTTTTACAGTCAAGGGTTTTATTTTATTTTGCCGTTTTAACAATATAATATATTTACGAATGAACACTTAATTTGTTGTAATTTATTTTCAGATAGAAATTTTGAAACTAACCTATATAGTTCCATCTTACCCTTAAATAAAGAAAATATATTAGGAAATAAGTTGACGTACATGCTTTAGTTTTGAAATAAAATAAGAATACACACGTATTTAAAATGGTATAAACTTCTCGCATACGCAAATAGTTAAGCAAGCAGTGCATGAAATGATCCTTAAAACCAATATATTTCTTCAAAGAATTTTGTAAATTTTACAGAGTTTATTTCCTTATGAAGAAATTCACCTTCAAAAGTAAAAATTTTTTTCCTAAGGGGCCGTTCAAAAAGTACGTACACAAAAGTGGAGAAATATTAACCCCCTCCCCCCCTTCGTACATTACCGTACATAGGTCCCCCCTTAGAGTACGTACATTTTATTAGTCTACCCCCCATTTTCATAAAAATTTAAATAATTATGTTTTAAATAAAATTAAATATTTATTTAAAATTATTTATTCATTTAAGTCAAATTTAAATTTGGTGTTTGCTTATAATGTGCGTACTTTGTATAATACCCTCCCCCCCTCCCCATCGTACAAAACCATAAGAAATAGCAAACCCTTCGAGATGTACGTACTTCTTGAACGGCCCCTAAATGAATAAATATAAAATAGGACGTAGTTTTGTGAGAAAACGAAGAAAAAAAATAACAACTGATGGATATACGCATCACTACGTTGGGCAAAATTAAGCCTTTTGCTGATAAAGCTAGAATAAATGATCATAGAGTAAATAAAAGGCTTAAATTGTTGATAGAGAAAAGTGGTAGTAACCCTCACATTCGAAGGGGGGAGGGAATTATTATGTTTTATGCACTGTACAGAAAATGTTTGGAAAAATATCTCTTATTTAATTGTTTTACAATAATACGAAGTGTGCTAAAAGTCGTTTTTCTATTACTTACAGATCGTGAAAACCAGTCTATGTTGATTACGTAAGTATAGAAGATTTGATGCCTTTAACTAAGTTTAAAACTTGAAAAAAAGTTTTAACACAGCCAAAAAATTTATATAAATTCCTTAGAGGACTAAATTTGTGAAAAATAAATTCAAAAAAATTATTTTGATTATTAATTAGCTCATCGTGAGTTTAATAAAATAATTTTGAATGCAGAGTGGCTTAACTTAAATAGCGAATTCCCGAAACGTAACTATTTTTTTTAACAAGAAAGTTTTTAATGAAGTAATTTAAAATAGGGAAAGTAGAAGTTTTCAGCACAAAAAATCGGGCAAAAATAAATTGTTTCTGCTTAAAACTTTAATTTTTTTACTAATATTGCATGAAGAAAATAAATAAAGATGAAAGAAAATCTGAATATTTAAAAAATCTCAAAACTGAAAAGATAAATTAAATAAAATATCTATTTTTTAGACAAAAAAGATTAATTAAATAGGAAGTAATTACACCTCGAAATATCTATGGCAGTGTGTTATAGATGTCGACAGTAATGTAGACAGTAGTAAATGTAGAGAGTAAATGCAGACGTAGATGTATACAGTAAATAGTAAATTTTCCCTAGATAAATGAAAAATATAAATTTTTGGTAAATTGATTAAAATTAAAGAAAGAAATTAAGTGACTTAACTGTATATTAAAAATCCATAATTCTACTTAGGAAAGTCTAAAATTTCTTAAATATCTCAAAATCGAAAAGATTTAAGCAAATTTTAAAAAAAGAAGAAAAAAAAAGATGGATGCTTGAGAACAAATATTCTTATTTAACGTTTATAGAAAATAATCGTTTCTTTAAAATACGTTCGGCAGCCAATTCTAAAATTTTTTTTATTTGTACATGTAGACGTTAGAATTTTTTTTACATTTAACGTTATTCCAAAGCTTATTTTAAAAATGTTTTATTTTACCTACAGCGGAGAGTCTGGTGCCGGAAAAACTGAGAACACGAAGAAAGTAATTGCCTATTACGCCAGTGTTGGCGCTTCAACAAAGAAGGGTGAAGCAAAGAAGGGAGTAAGTATTTCAATGTCTTATATGAAAAACATTTATTTAAAAGAAGAAAAAAAATCCTATACAAGTATCCTAAACAACTCATCATATTTTTTCTTCCTAATTTCTAGCCAAGTTTAGAAGATCAAGTCGTACAAACTAACCCTGTTCTTGAGGCCTTTGGTAACGCTAAAACTGTGAGGAATGATAACTCCTCTCGTTTCGTAAGTATTAATTTATTTCCTAAAATGTAACCTAATGATTTAGTTATGCATAATTAATTAAAAAAATATCATATTTTATAGTATAGCCAAGTTGAGATCATTTTATAGGCTTCATTAATAATTTAATAAAATGCTTAAGACTGTCGACAAAGATTTTTTCAGTATTTTACCTTAAAAAAAAAACTTTGAAAAAAATAATTTGATATTACTTTTAAAAAAGTTTCAAAAATTAATTTTGATTGAATTTTTTATTAAAATAAGCAATTTTTCTAACTTTTACGAAATTGAACATAAGTTGAAAAACTCTCTTTTGCATCAAAGCCTTACAAACATGCACATTACGAGTTTACGTCTAGTCGAAACTGAAATTACTATGTTCTTAATAAAAATGGATTATGTTGTATTTTTATGAGAGAAATATATTATTAACTTCTATTTTCCTCTGAATAGGGTAAATTCATCCGTATCCATTTCGGTCCCATGGGCAAACTGGCTGGTGCTGATATTGAAACATGTAAGTTATAGTTTAACTATACCTCAAAATAACAATATTCAAGAAATGTATTCATAATGCAATCACTGTAACTTTATAATAAGTAAATCCTTCGTATTTTATTAAATTTATTATAAGTCGTCATGTGTTAATTTAATTAAAACACTGTCTTATCCAACACACTACATTATACTGCACAATAAACATACTTTAATTTATTTATAAGCCTATTAACGAAAGTAATAAATTAAAGTTTTTATTCGCAAATGGAAAAATGTCCTAAAAACATTCATATTTTCTAATTTAGTCAGAAGCTCTACATTACTTATCAGATAATTAAGTAAAAAATTGGATATAACAATTCAATTAGATGAGAATTGGAAAAATGGGAATCGGGATGAGTTATTTTTAACATTTATGGTCAACAGTTCTACTAGGAAATTTTTTAAAGTATGAATAATTATTCTCAAGTCATTTTTAAAGTAAATACAATTTGGAAGAAAGTTTTTACATATTTCTTAAAGAAAGTACTTATAATTACCAAAAATTCTGCAAAATAGAAAAAATAATAACATATCTTGTTAAATAATAATGATTAATGACATAAAAGTTATCAAATTTCTTCTTTTCAATTAATTTATTTAGTTTGTCTATTTCTTAACATTATAAGATAAAGGCCTTTGTTTAATGTGACTTCAACTATTATTTATATAATAAATTAAATCTTCTGAAATATTGCATGTGCTCAATTTTCATCCATGGAATTCAACGTGCAAAGATAAACTAATACTTGTATTGTCCCCTAGTAATGATTATTATAATCTATCAAGTTTAAAATTATAATCTAATCTAATTATAATCTAAAATTATGATTATTATAATCTATCAAGTTTAAAATTATAATCTAATCTAATTATGATCTACAATTATGATTATTATAATCTATCTATTTTAAAAGTTTATAAATTTATATACTTTAAATAAAATTTTGGTATTACAAAAACTGTGTATCTTATTTTGAAAGTAGAAAATTTTAGAAAAATAGATCTTATTGAAAAATATTCTTAATGTATTTTATGTTAAACTTGACCAAATATTACTTCTCTTTCAGATCTATTGGAGAAAGCTCGTGTAATTTCTCAACAAACTTTGGAACGTTCTTACCACATTTTCTACCAAATGATGTCTGGAGGAGTTCCAAATCTTAAGGGTAAAACTTCAAAATAAGTTAATGCTTGAATTAATTAATTATTTGCCTCAAAATTAATTAATCTTCATCATTATTGATTTGGATTTAGATAAATTAAAATGTATTCGCACTTTATATGAATTATAAATATTTCCAGTAATATATTTTATCTTATAAGTTTTAAAACAAATTAATGAATTATATTCCAATTTTAATTCTGTATGGATATTTTACTTTAAATCTATAAGTATTTGTAAGCTCTTTTCTTAAATATTCCTAATAAAGTTCCTTTGATTAAACAGAACGCCCTCTTCAGAAGTTATTTTATATAATAACTTAATCAATGCATACAAGAATAACGTTAAAAAAATTGTTCTGAAAGATATGTATCCATAATAATAAAAAATTACTAAATTATAATCAAAAACATTTTAATGTTTTTGATAAAAATTTATAATAAGTGCTTAAGTTAATATGTTAATATTAACTTTAAAGAAAAACTCTTAATTAAAAAAAAATAACTTTTTAAAAAAATTATCTTTCAATTAAAAAAAGAGATACTTCTTTAAATTTTTCAAAGAAATAGTGCATGTAATATTTTTTGTTTAAAAAAAGGGTGAATAGATTTTTTTTATGAAATGCCCATCTCTCATATTTCCTTCTTAAAACTTACACTTTCTATGATAAGGACAAGTTTTCATAATAGAAAGGCTAACGACTATCATAGAATTTGTCAGTTTTAAATTATTTGCAATGTAAATCACAAAACATACTTCGGGACTAATTACAAAACAGTTCATTAAATTCAATTGATAAAACTCAAAAACACATTATTACTGAGTTCTAAACAATACAGAAATTATGTCAAAATACATTGAAAACTTCTTGAAATTAGAAATAATGATAAGAAAAGTTTGAAAGTTTGGATAGCGAATAGTACACGTTCCCTTAGCAAATTGTTTTGAAGACTGCTTAAAATGACTGTGATTATTTTTGTTAATAGCTAACTTCATGTTTAATATTTTGAATCAGTTTGCTTATCCAACAGATTTTACGTTGGAAAAAAGTTATGCTAATTTTTTGTGTTTATTTATACAACTATTCAGTGTTATTACTATCACGTACATCAGTGTTAGTACTATCATCTGCATCAGTGTGAATGCAATCAACAACACAATGTTAACACAATCAAGTACATCAATATTAATCCAGTCTACTGTATCAGCTTTAATACAACCAAAAACATCAGTATTAATACAATGATCTTACATTTTTCTTTATCAGATATTTAAGTTAGAATATAGTGGACAATTCATCATTTTTCATCAAAAAAGAATTTTAAATTTAAAAGAAGCAAAGTAACATTAATAATTTTTTAGCATAATTTGACGCATATTTGGTTAAAACAATAATGCAATCGCAATTATGTATTAAATATATATGTATGTATTGATTTCTCCTATCAGAAAACTGTCTGTTGTCGGATGACATCTACGACTACCATTTCGTTTCCCAGGGTAAAATTGAAATCCCTGGAATGGATGACGCTGAAGAAATGAGACTGACTGACGTAAGTAAAGCATTAAAAGAACGAGGAAAAAAAAAAGACACTCCTTCTTATGGAAAATAACACCAGAAACACCTGTCTTCTTCTCCTCCTATACTGATTTTCTCATCCTTCTTGGGCGAACCAATCTTTCTTAATAAGAGTTATACATCCATCAGTCGTTCTGTTTAGCGCCTAGCGTTGCGTAATCATTTTAGATCAATTTGAATTAACTGTAGATACATATGTATATATCTCTGGATATAGCAAACACCTACCGTTGCGTAGAAATTTTATATCTATCTAAATTAATTGTTGGATATAGCTTTGGATACGAGAACAGATAAAAATTCACTGAAAGTCGTTTAATGAAAATGCGTTGAAAGACTGACTTTCGATTTTTTTTGTTCAGAAAACTGTCTGTTGTCCGATGACATCTATGACTACCATTTCGTGTCTCAAGGTAAAGTAGAAATTCCTGGAGTTGATGATGCTCAAGAAATGCGAGACACAGATGTGAGTATGGACCAACGAAAGTACCCAGCTCTTTGCTTCTGGCTGTTGGAAAATGCAAGAGTGCATGGTTTTTGCGTTTTTGCTGGCTTAGACGCTTTTGCTGGCTTAGAAACTTTTGCTGGCTTAGAATTGTATTTGATTGCTGCCTTCGAATAAAGCCTAAGAAATAAAATTAAACTCAAAAATAAATGTAACTTACTCAGGATAAAATAAAAAAATACTTTATTTAATGTCAAACTCAACCGAAGGGCCGCTCTTGCAAATTGGCTTATTGAAATATCTATTTTTTTATACATTATATAAGAAAATAATATATTATCAAGTTTTTATTTTTTTGTTTAGGAATTCCTGATTAAAGTTTTCGTTAAACTACGTTGATATTTAACGCTTCACTGTTTTTCGTAAGATTTAATTTACATTTTTGACCAATATGGTTCATAAAATATTTTAAGCATTGGATGTGGGTTTACCAATTATTATTTTTAAACATAAAAATTGAAAGAATTTTATTTGCAACTTTAGATTCAAAATCATATAAGAGAGAGAGAGAAATAGCTGTATAGCCATTTAGTTCCAACATTTTTAGCCGTATTTTACGAAACAAAATACAATTTAATTGATTTCGATTATGATCCGCTTGGTGAAAGCTTTCAGCCTTATTTTTGAAATGTATCTTTTTAATATGCATATAAATTCATTTAAACAAATTATTCTTGAAAAATGACTGAATTTTTAAACTACAATAACAGGAGTGGCTCTAAATAGATATTCTACAACATTTCAAAAGTTAATTTTCTTAAGTTTTCCACTTGAAAATTTCACTATTTTTTTTAAAAGAATATTTAAGGACTCAAACAGACAAATCACAAGCCCTTATTGCTTAGTCAGATTATTTTCGCACAAGTTTAAGTTTCATTTGACCCACGTGTGAATTCAAAACCACACATATTTTATTTCGCAGTTGTCTTCAGTTATGGCAGAACAAATCATATTTGCCTAAAAATACTTTACTTTTTAAAATAGACTTATCTTTGAATTAAAAAAAAATCCTTACGATTTACGGTTTTGCAGATGAATAAAGTTTCGCTTTGCTTATGTAGCTTATATGAACAGTTGCTTCGCTTATTTCTTTCAAACGATATCGGTGCTTTTCGCTTTGCTTTTTGCTATTTTATTTAAATTAAGCTTGCCTTTATGCTTCCTTAAAAGAAATTGCTTTTCTTATTGCTTTTTTTAAGAGAATTTCTATGGTTTTTGCTTTTTTAAAAAAGTAGCTTTGCTTTTGACTTTTTTAAAATTTACCTTGTTTTCCGCTTAGCTTAAAATTTTGCTTTTATTTTAATAAAAGAGTATTTTTGCTGGCTGAAATTTAGTAAAAAAATTATGAAATAATGATTTCAATTTAAAGTAACTTTGTGTACAAGCTCCTTAACATAATTATAAAGTATTAAATACTTTCATTCTTTCCCCTTATAGCTTTGCTTTATCATTACTAATATTTCATTTTCGCTTCTGCTAAGCTTCTACTAACACCTTTGCTTTTCTATAAACTTTCAATTTCTTCTTCTTGAAATGCTTTTTATATCTTGTATTCCAACAAATACCTTATATAAATTTATTTCTGAATTTTATTTCATACTCAATTTTGCTGAAAATATATTACATTAAAATAGTTAAAGTTTTATATTAAATATATTTGTAATTTTTTACTCTAATTTTAATCTTTCATTATCATCACAAAGTTTCATTTCTCATATTATTATGTAATTCGTTTTTAAATATACTAATCAGCAAAATTAATAGTTCAAATTAATAGATAATCAGCAAAATTAATAGTTCAAAACTTGTGTATCGTAAAATGAGCACATTTTAGTATTAAACTTCTAATAGTAATTTTAATAATAAATTTTGGTAAGTTAATGACTCTTGTGATAGCTTCAGAAGTTAAGCTAAATTTTCTTCATTCAAAAAACAGACTGCCTTCGACATCTTGGGCTTCAGTCAATCTTACAAAGATGAAATCTACAAAATTACCGCAGCTTGCATGCACATTGGTGAAATGAAATTCAAGCAAAGACCCAGAGAAGAACAGGCTGAGCCTGATGGCACGGAAGAAGGTGAAAAGTTGGCTCACTTGTTGGGCATTAATGCAGGTGATTTGTACAAGAACTTGTGCAAACCCAAGATCAGGGTCGGTAACGAGATGGTAACCAAAGGTCAAGGGATGGTGCAAGTAAGTAATGCTATTTATTATTTATATATATAATCAGAGTGAAAAGGCCATGAGCAGCGAATGAATAAATCATTACAATACTCTACTTTAATGTTAAATGGAAGTAACGTAGAAATTTATTAAAACAATCATATAGAGGTGTCCAAGTCAAAGGCTGAACTATGACACTCAGTGGAATAAATCAATCATTTGTCATAATTTTGCGGTTGGGAATGGCAACTAGTTTGCACTCCTCCAATTAGACAATTCGTATTCCCATTACTCAATCTGAGGCTGATTGATGGATAGCTAGGGGACAGGTAAGTAAAGTGACGTCAGATTAGACATCTCTGTAACTGATTAAGGCTGACGTCACTTCCCTTAACTGCTGACTGAAAACTCATCAATGATAAATCAGTTAATGGTAGCAACCAATTGGAATACGTTTTATTTCTAAGTAAAATAGTGGAATAAACAAAATAGTGTTAGAACTATTAAGTAAAATAGTGTTGCCATTAACAACCAGAATATTATAGCCATTGATTCAATGATAATAGTCATATGATATAGACCAGCCTCTGGCTCGAGCATCCTGAATAGGGGAATTTAATATGAATTAAATCATGTTTACTAATTTAAGTTAGCAATCGTGGATATTTCATTAGAAGAAAAGACACATACTTCAGCGCAAACTATTGCTTAAAGAATAATGGTTACTAAAAATTGGAGAACTTTTAGAATTAAACAGTTTAACATTTTGGATGTTAACAGTTTAATATTTTTAGAATAAATAGTCTCTGATTCGGCACAGTGCAATCTAAAGGTTAAAGTACTTTTCATGAAATGTCTCTGCCTTCTAAAGCATGTATCTTAGCACGAATAATAGCAATATTATACAAGTCATGCATTAATGGAAACCCTTAAGTCACGTAACAAACGATCGGAAGTTATTAATTAATTTATCAATAATTTTTCAATTATTCAATTATCAATTAATTTTTTATTAATATATTATATGTGTGTTGTGCCATGTTCAACACTAATGAGGAGATCGTCCTTATAATTTAATTGCAATGCTGTAACGTGATATGATACGCTTTTTAAAAATATGAATAAGCGTTTTGATAGTAATGTCTGTATTCCCAAAAATACTAAATACAAGAAACGATGAAAATATAATTTAACATTAACAAAAACTAAGAAAAATTCTTCAAAAAATAAAAAAAAAATGAAAAATAAAAACCATTTAATTATCTAAATTCACGCTTTTGCTAAGAAATCAGAGTACTAAAGCTTGGTAATTATTTTTAGGTAACATCCTCTCTTGGTGCTTTGGCAAAGGCTATGTTTGACAGGACCTTCAAATGGCTCGTAAAGAAGTTGAACGAGACTTTGGACACCCAACAAAAGAGACAGTACTTCATTGGTGTACTCGATATTGCCGGTTTTGAAATCTTCGACGTGAGTATTCTTGCATCATGAACTCTGAGAGAATCAAAAATTAATATTTTTAAAGTTAAAATATATTATATATGATTAGATAGGTTAGTAGTTTTCTTGTATGTAATTCGATAAGCCAGTAGCTAATTTTTGAAAGTATCTATTAGTTCGATTTTTTAATATTCTGAATGATTTATCATTTAGCAACGATTTTAAAAAATGATGTGTTTTTCTTTTAAACTTTAGTAATGTAAATGCATAAAATATTTCTCCTAAAATTTAATAAATAATAAAGTTTCGTGAAAAATTGTATGATAATTTTCATTATGTTTCTAAGTAATTAAGACTAAAAGAAGTACTAGAAATTGTATGATTACTCAAAATAATGACAATTATTACAAATTGCATATAATTATATTAATACAAACTATATAAATTATGTTAATAATAATTAAAAATGTTTAAATTACATTTTATTAAAAACATTTTGAATTTTATTATATTTTTGTGTATATAGTATTAACCAGATCAGCACTATTTTTCAAGAATTTTGTTTTCAATCAGGCGTATACTTTTGGCTAATGTCACTATACTTTAAAAGATGATTATTTTTGAATAAAAGAATCGATTTTAATCTAAAAACATTAAAAATCGAGGAAACAGCAATTATGCCGAGATATTACAATGAAACTTAATTTAGTTAATCATCTACCAAGATTTCAAGCTGCGATTCAAACACAAGGAAATAAGAAACTATGAATTGATAAAAAAAAAAAAAAAAGGAAAAAGATTTAGATTTTTTGCCCCAAGATAAAGCATGAGACAGATAAGTAAATTTTACTATACCTATATGTCTTTCTATCTCTATCTCCTTCTCTATCAGCACACTATATGTTTACCTTTTGTTTTTCTTATTAGTTTTAGTAACTATGCTATTCTAGTAGCTTCCTTGATTCATATTAAAAACAATATAAAAAAGATTGTTTACCATATCACGAAAACTATATAAAAAGACGTGCACTAAATTGAAAAAAAAAACGTGTTACTGTGTATGGGAAAATATACATAGAAATTTAAGTTTACATAAAAAAATTGAAGGACTTAGCATGATAAGAGAATATATTTTTATGTTTAAAATCTAATCGTTCGCTGAGTACGCTATTGTTTCATGCTTACAGTCCAAAAAAAACTTGTCTTGATTTTTCATTAATCTCTTAAAATAAATTTTGATTAATCATTACATCAATTTATATTTATAACTGGGAACTGAAGGTTAAGTTTCAAAATTAAATTGCACTACCATAATTAAAGGAAAATGCCTGTTAGTAACAGAGATAAATATCTGGAATTTATTCAAGTAATTTTTATTAGAAATGTACTGAGATGAGTTTTGTACTCGAAGAGACATCTAGAATTATGATATAACTGTAACCTGAACTGCAAAGATAAACTCTTTACAATTAATTAAATTTAATAATATATCTTATCCAACGCGTATTAGTTCCTTAGTAGCTCTAGATGCTGTAATCTTATAATAGGAAAAAGTAAACTGTAAAGTTGTTTTTATTTTCTAGAAAAAAATCTTTCTGTTAATAGCAATTGATGTATAGCGTGTCTAGAATAACTTGATGTAAAAAAATTTTAGAATCTGGTCTTAGAATATTATAATTTTGGATCTAATGCCATTAGTAAAAATGTTCTAGATGTGTTTATTCCTTTAAATTCCTTCTTTTCTTTCTTTGTGTATATGTTGTTCTCTTTGTAACTCTTTTTTTTCTTTCTTTCTGTGTGTACTATTTCCCTATTGTCTTCCCTACAATGATCTTTCTTTGTCAGTTTAATGGCTTTGAACAACTATGTATCAACTTTACGAACGAAAAACTACAACAATTCTTCAACCATCACATGTTCGTTCTGGAACAAGAAGAGTATACCCGAGAAGGCATTGAATGGGTCTTCATTGACTTCGGACTCGATCTTGCAGCCTGTATCGAACTTATCGAGAAGGTAACGACGCACACTTAAATGAAAGACGAAGCCGTCTCCATTTATGGGCATGAATTCACCCGAAAAAAACATGCTGAATCAAATTAAGCCTTCGCAAACACGCTTGCTTTCAGTTAACACCAAATTCGCACATTTCACGAATAGGACACCGAAGGATTCTTAAAAAGATGCTGAGCTGTTGCTATTTTAATATCATGCTTAAAAACAAAAATTTCAGTCTCATTTACTACTCCATCGTTCAACTAACTACAGGGTAGTGCTGACAAATTTATTGATTTAAAATTTGTATTTGAATCGTAGTAATTATTCTTATTAGTTATGTATTAAACACCAAATGCAATTTGGTATTAAAATGTATTAGCTTTTCCATATAGATTTGCATTTAAATTATACCTAGTAACTTATTGGTCATTGCATTGCAACTCAATGATAAAGTTTTAAACTTGCCATAATACTTTGAGAGACTGAAGTTTTTGTCTGATATTCTAACGCTATTTATACCAATATAATTAAGGCTTGTGCTTTTCCCCTTATTTTTCTTGCTTTTTGCCTTCGCCACATTGCTTGCAGTACAACGGATTCGAGCAACTTTGCATCAACTTCACCAACGAAAAACTCCAGCAATTCTTCAACCATCACATGTTTGTACTGGAACAAGAAGAGTACAAACGTGAAGGTATTGACTGGGTCTTCATTGACTTCGGTCTTGATCTTGCCGCTTGCATTGAGCTGATCGAAAAGGTAATGATACCCTAGCAGTAAAAATTTGCTTTATCATACCCTTTATTTAATAATCATTTGCTTCTTTTCCTTTTTTTGAATAAGCAAAAACATACATGCACGTAGACTAACCGATTACATACTTTTACTAATTTTAAAAATAAACAAATGTGTATACTTTTATATAAAAAAAATTTTTTTCTCTTTCTCTTTCGAACTATACTTTTAAAAATATATATATGCATATATGTTTTGATTTGTAAATATTCAAAACATATATGTACGTAAACTAACCGATTACATACTTTTACTAATTTTAAAATTAAGCGAATATGTATATTTTCATTCAAAAATTTTTCTCTTTCTCTTTTAAGCAATACTTTTAAATATATATACATGCATACATGTTTTGATTTGCAAATATTCAAAACATGCATTCATGTAGGCTAACCGATTTCATACTCATACTAATTTTGAAACTATACTATTTTCCAAAATTTCTCTCTCTCTCTTTGTAGTAATCTTTGGATTGAGACTAATAATCTTTATAAAAAAAATTCTTGTGTGTACATTTTTTTTTCTTTCTTCAAGTAACTTTATTCTTCTTAAAAACAAATTCATTTTATGGAATATTTACGTTTTAATTTTTATCTGCATGGAAAAACATTTAAACCACATCACCTGAATTAAAATTGTTAAATTTAGCCCTTGGGTATCCTGTCCATTCTTGAGGAGGAAAGTATGTTCCCCAAAGCTACCGACAAGTCCTTCCAAGACAAGTTGAACGCTAACCACTTGGGCAAGTCTCCTAACTTCGTCAAGCCTAGACCACCTAAACCAGGTCAACAAGAAGCTCACTTCTCTATTGCTCACTATGCTGGCACTGTAAGTTACGCTATTGAATTTCGCTGACGATTTAAATCTTAGCCATCTAAGTAGACTCTCTATTTCAGTTCAATATTTACAAATTGTTTCTCTTCAATTATCCAGGTACCCTACAACATAACCGGATGGCTGGAAAAGAACAAGGATCCAGTAAATGACACTGTTGTCGATCAATTTAAGAAGGGCTCTAACAAACTTTTGGGTGAAATCTTTGAGGATCATCCAGGTCTTGGTGGTGATGACAAGGGTGCAGCTGGTGGTAAGGGAGGTGGCCGAAAGAAGGGTTCTGGTTTCCAGACTGTATCTGGTCTCTACAGGGTAAGTTAAAGTAAAATTATTCGTAAATTCGAACTTTTTTTTTCTTTATTAAATAAATAAATCTCTAAAGATGAAGGATTTTGATTTCTTTCTTATTCATGCATTGTGTTCTTTTTAATACTAATATAAGTGAAAAAAATGACTTATTAAAATTAAATTTTAAATTTGTTTTTGTTTCATACTACATTTCACATTATGAGTGAAATTCCAATCAAATTTCATTTGCTTTAATTTTTGTTGTTATGTTAGATTATCTATTTAAATAATTTCTTTATATCTGCATCATACTTTGATAATTATTTCATGCAAATTTTAATTAATTTACAAATCTTTCCTTAAACTTTATTTCGAAAATATGTGTGTAATTTATAATTGCATTATGGATTGTTGATTGTAATATTTAAGTTTTTATAATTTTATTGAATTTGCTTCAAAAAAATATTTCTTTAAATTAAGTTAATATGAATTGAGATTACGAGCAGGAATCATAAACATGGGAAATTCAGAATAACACTTTTATTTCGTTCATCAGAGAGACAGATTTACGAGTTGCCAAGCCACGCATCCTATGGAGTTTACAAGCTAGCATTATAGTATGCTTATTCAAAATAAAAAGGATTTTTATGTGCAATGCTTTTGTTTGTGTAGTATTTAGAAAATGCTTCGCAACTGCGACTTAAATAGCGTAATGCATGTTCAGTTTTCAATATGTAAATGAATATTTTTCTTAGGTACAATTTCTTTTGCTTAGTACTTACAGAAATCATATTTGTTAGCAAGCTTTCTGCTGCAGTGTGTGTAAAATCGCTTATTTGGGCACATGATTTTCTTCTTGCTTTTTATGTTTTAAATTGTAAATATATTAATAAATGCTTTTATAATTCATGTAAAGCATTATTATTTTATGTTTAGATTCATTTTAAATATTTAGATAACTGTAGCATTTTCAGCTAAAAAGTGTGCCAATTAAAATAATTATGCTTTGCCTATTTAATAGAGAATACCAGCAATCTTTTGCAAATATGTCTATCATGCAGTCATAAACCAAGTTGTGGCTTGATTTTACTTCTTGTTATTTTTAATGAAGCAATCCTTCTTTAATTACTGCAGAAAGGCGTATATACACATATTGCCTAACACATATTGCCTAACTCCTTGGTTAAAACGTTTCCAAGACGGAAATAAAACTATTTGCAAAAGCTTTCTGGTTGCTCAGCTTTCATGCATAGATGTGAGATAGTAGCGTTGAGCAAAAGCTGTGTGTTTTAATTTAAAAATTTCCCTCTTTTAGGGGAATAGTATAATTACATGTTTTTAATCAATAACTATATATTCTTTTGCTTCGCTTTTCTAACAACAGGAGCAACTTAATAGATTGATGGCCAGTTTGCACAGCACACAGCCTCACTTCGTACGTTGCATTATCCCCAACGAAATGAAACAGCCAGGTAACCTACAATTATTCAGAACCCAAAAGAGATCGTTTCCCTCAAATTTTATCCTTACCTTTTATCATCCAGCCTGCATTAATGCAACTATTTTGGATCATTCTTCCCTCTCAAGATACATGCAATATCTTACCCATTGAGTTCTTGATTATTGCATTGTTTTTTAAACAACATCTTCCTAAGTTTGCACTGTTCAGAAAGATCCCTTTCATTTATGCATTGTTTATTTTTTAATAAAATCCATTTTATCTATTATTCACAAAACCCTTTAAGTTATAATTTATTGCACTGTTTTTAGACAAAATTCCTTTATTCCATTTATTCTCCCTATTCTCTTTTTTAAAAAAACCAAGCCCTGTTAATAAATTCTTTATTGCATCTGTTTTTAAACAAAATCCTTTTTTCAGTGTCGCATTATTTCTTAGTCAAAACAACTACTTATTATATCATTCACCTGACTCTTAAAAAAATTCCTTTTAGGTTATTATTTATTGCACTATTTCAAATGAAATTCCTTTTAATTATACATTATCTTGTTTAACAAAACCCATTTCATTCATGATTCACCAAACTTTCCAAGAACATACCCTTTTAAATTTTTATTTATTGTACTGTTTTGAAACAAAATCCTTGTCATTTTGCACTTGTTTTGAACACAATCCTTCCGAGTTTTGTGTTACTGTATTGTTTTAAAACAAAAAACGTATACATCCCTTTTACATTCCCAAGCATAACTTAACAAAATAAAATGCAATACCATGTTTTTTTTTGTTCCGGTAATTCTCGCTACATATTTTTCAACTCACGCCTTGGAACAACGGATAAAAGAATTCAGGAGCATCAAACTTTCAGGGGTTAAAAGAAAAATTATAATTTTAAACTAAGATAGAAGAGGGTTTCTTGATTTTTCTCTTCATTTATTTAACTTATTTTCCTATTTAATTATAAAACAGGAACAGCTAAACAAACTGATGGCTACTCTGCGTAGCACCGCTCCTCACTTTGTCCGATGCATCATCCCTAATGAAACTAAATCTCCAGGTAAGATATATAATCGGTGCCGAAAAGCTTTACGAACGATTGCTTACTTATACTCGGTTGCAAGTTAAGAAAACACCATTGCGGTGTAGGATTTAAGTAATCATCCTTTAGTTCCGTTTTATTTCGTTATCAAATTATACAAATATGCTTTCAAAACTGTATAAAAGGTTTTAAAAAACACGCCAGAGAGAGTTTTAACTCGTGCTATCTTTTACGATATATATATATCATAGAATTATTCAAAAAGGTTACAGTTTCGTAATCTTATTGGAATGCCAGACTTATTTCGATAACTAATTTGAACATACGTTCTTGAAAAAGAAACAGCTATATGACGTTGCAAGATCATTGGACTTGATTGGACCATTGAAAATGGCGCGTCTAATGCTGACACGCTTTTAACAAATCAGATGCGAGATAGAGAATTTTTACTTTTGTTTTGCCACAAGAAAAAATCGTCTGCAAGAAACAATGTTAATTATTCTTTCATCAATTTCTTTAAATGCGAACGGCAAGACATATATTTGTTACGAATTTAAGTTATCATTTTTGTTAATTCTAATTTCTCGTTAATCGATTATTGTTGTTAATAAGAAAGTAAGCAAAAAGGAAGCTGTGCAGCGTCGTTTCAAGAATTGGCAATGTTGATATGCGTTCGCGCTAGGAGCTTGGCATCCATTTGGCGTGCACTTAGATGCAAACAGGCTCTCTCCACAGGAATAATGATTTTTTCTTAACTTGCAACAGAGTTTAGAAAAATAGTGCTGCAGAGTGCTTTTCTATGCTTTAGTTGGATTTTAGGCTAAAAGTAAAAGTAAAGCATCCTAAAAAGGAATAAAAAATGCCTTTTTCGCTTACTTCGATGCATTCTTTAGACTCTTAAATTTCAATTATATAAAGGAATAATGAGAATTTAATTTGTATAGTTAGAATTATTGCTTTACTAACTGCGTAGCTTACTGCTTTTTAAAAAGGCTAATTATTTAAATTAGCTTTAATTTTTGAATTTAAAGATACAATAATGCTTTTATAAAATATTTTAGCATTTATTTCTATTATAAAAAAGTAAAATAATTTTAAGTAATTTTGGAATTGGGGGAATTTTTTTTTACTGTTTAATGAATATTTGCATAAAAACTGGCGATATATGAAACATCTAATAAATTTATATTTTTTAATTAATATACTAACATAAAATGTAATTTTTATTTATAAATTTCATTATCTTACAACTAAAAGCATGAATACCATATGAACATTTCACTTTCCTTTTTCTATTTTTTCATCATTTCTTACCTAATTTCCTTTCCATTTCAATATTATCATTAAAATGCCTCTATTGAAATAACTTAGAATTATAAAATTCTTAATTTCTTTATTGTATCTTTATTTCTATATAATATTTGTAGAAAAAACAATAAAATTCATGTAATTTTTTATAATCTTGCTAGTTATGACATTTTAAAATGTAATTTTATTTTTTTTAAAAAGAAGCTAATTGATTTTTAATATTGTTGGAAATGCAATATGCCATTTTAAATAAGAATTATAATCTCAATTATAAGTTGTAAATTAATTGTTCTACATTATTGCATCAAATGAAATCAGTTGATCAATTTATTTTATAAAATTCGCATTTAAAACTGTCTTTTTTAAATTAAAAAAAAATATTTAACTTGAAAGATGCAAAAACTAAAAATTTTAAACATTTAGATTTATTTTATATGCATTTTTATCTCCAAAAAATTTGAAATATATAAAATATAAGCTTAATTACTAATTGATTTAGAGATGAAACTTAGAAGCAGACTAATTGTGTGACAAGGCGATGCTATATTTTAATGAAAATTAAAGACAGAATGGCTTGAACGACAAATAAACCACGAAATGAGACGCCCGTGAATATTTTATAAGTTTCTGTTTAATTTATAATATTTTTCAATGCCATTTAGGTGTTATTGATGCTGGCCTAGTAATGCATCAATTGACATGCAACGGTGTACTTGAGGGTATCCGTATCTGTCGTAAGGGTTTCCCCAACAGAATGATCTATCCTGACTTCAAACAACGGTAAGTTAAAGGAAATTAAATGTATAGTTATTTACTTAATTATAACACTCTTTATAAATTTCACGAAGGAAAAGTTGTTTTCAATAAGAATCCGTAAAGTAATTAAAACGTCCTAATCAACTTTTAAAAATTATTATTAATTACAATAAAAATGAAAACGTAAGATTTAGGCAGAAATTTTACTTATGCAAACTGAAATTTTTCTTATTTATATTTTGAAATTATTTATTATTTTATTAGTCTATGAACTTATATTCATTTTAAATTTCATAAAATTTATAATAATGCATATAATCTATTCTGTCTCGTAACTGTACAGCATTTAGTCATAGTAAAGCATTTTGAATTGATCAATGTTAGAAGTCAATTAATAAAGCCTATTTTTTATTTGCACATTTACAATAATTTGAATAAATACAGTATATAACTTCAAAAAAAATTTATGCAAAGCTTAACATTTGCAAGCCAAAATAAAATAGTATTTGGACCAATAAGGTACAAACAAAATATTTTATTTCTAGATCATAATTATGAAACAAATTCTTACAATTTACATACATTTAAAATAAAAATGAAAAATATTTTATTTTTTGGCGTTTTTTAACAGCATATTAATACAATTAGAAAAATTTTATTGTTATGGTTTTATTGCCTGTTTACACATGAAAATGAATGAAATTTGAATTAAGTTAATGAAGTTTAAATTAATATTAATTCACAAATAACAAGGGAAATCCCAATGTTCGAAATTACTATGCAAAATAAATATGGTGATAAATGGATTTAGGGGAGAAACATTGGAAAAAATAATAAAAATAAATGGTAAATAAACATTAAAGTATTTCGAGCACATATGAATTATTACTAAAATGCAAGCGAACGGGATAATTTGTAAAAATTTTGCACAGTAAAAATATCTTTCTCGAAATATATAACATATCATAAGAAATATGAAGTAAGCTAATAAAGTGATTTTCCATCCATTTTAGTTACACCATCTTAGCTGCTAGCGCTGTACCCAAGGGATTCGTCGATGCTAAGAAAGTTTGCGAAGCCGTATTGGAAGCTATTCAACTGGACAAGAATGACTACCGTCTTGGAAGCACTAAGGTAAGATTTGATTAAATTTCCACGGATATCAATTCCTGTTTATGTAGAGAAACTTATTTAGATCCAAATTACATTTTTTTAGCATTGCGACTTCCTCTTCCTGAATGAATAAGTGTATTCCTCCTTATCTTCCTTTTCCTCTTCCTACCTCCTCGGATGTTTCCCAACCATTCCTCTTCCACGATGTTGATCTATGGTGAGTTCCAGTTTCACATCCAGAGAAATGGGACATGAGATTAAATAAATTAAATCCTTTTTTTTGTTCTTTGACCGGAATAGTATCCAAACAATCCTACCCCTTCCTCTTTCTCGATTTCAGACTGTGTTAGGATCTACTAGATGAAGTGTTGTCATACCAAAATGTAAAAGTAGTTAAACTGTAGTTATTAACTGTGAAATTTAGGTATAAGAAAAGTGGTAGTTATAACCTTTGAATTTTCGCCCATCGTAGAATTATTAATGTAGAATAGTTTGAAATATAAAAAAGTGTATGTTTTATTTTATTCAAAATTAATTCTAAATAAGAACACAATTATTTGAGCAAATAAAACAATAAAAGGAGAATCATTGCAACAGTGTTTAGTTTCAAATTTGAAACTTTAGGTTTTAAGTGTAACATAATTTTCTAACATAGTTTAGCACTTGGAAAAAAACACTTTTAAAGTACAAAATATAAATAATTATAAAATAAATAAGTTTGATTAATGCGAAATAATTTGAGATGGTATTTTCTGAAACTGCATAAATATACAGTTAAGGTACTTAAGCTATAAATTTCTATCAATATATAGAGCTTCTAAAAATAATTCTAGGAAAATAAAGTCTTAAAATAATTAATATATTTTTGAAAATAAACTAAAGTAAGAAAAATATTATTCCATAAAGAAAATAAAAGCAGTATTAGCAGAATTTAAAACGCAAAAACTGGAGTTCAAATTCTGAACTAAACTCTTTAGTGGATTTTTTCATTGTAATAAATTAATATAATGTTTTGATGAATAGGTATTCTTCCGTGCTGGTGTCTTGGGTCGTCTTGAAGAACTTCGTGATGACCGATTGGCTAAGATCGTAACTTGGTTGCAGGCCTGGGTCAGATGGTACATCTCCAAAAAGGAATTCAAGAAGTTGCAGGAACAAAGGTTTGTAGGACAGACGACTGTTCAATATATAGCCACTTTTATTTTAGAACTTCAACCAATGCATCATATAAATCGTATGAATTAATTGTTAATTTCTTATTTTTCTACAGAGTTGCCCTGCTTGTCATTCAGCGCAATCTTCGAAAGTTCCTTACACTTCGCAACTGGCTATGGTACAAATTGTACATGAAAGTAAGTAAACAATTTCTTCTAAATAAAATGTAACTAGCGACTGGTCATATCAACTAAAATGGAATACAGTTCCTTCCCGCTTTTAAAATCTTATTCAGAATTTTAGTTCTTAAACTTTAACCGGATTTCAAAAAACTTTAAACTATTTTTATTAAAACACAAAAAAGTTTACCCTTGTTTTTAACATTGATATAAGTCTGTGCATCTAAGCTTAACAATGAAATTGATGAATTTTTAGTTCAGAATCATATGCTATTATTTTTTTCACTTTAAAAAAATATAATATTTTTAGCGAATTTAGAATATCTAACATTTTTTTTCTCAAGTTTCGTATAAAGGCCTTATTTGTAGCGACAGAAATTTTCCTTGATAGTTTTAAAACAAACCACCATTACTAAATTCGAGAAAAAAGATAGAATATGTACTTTTATTTCTACGNATCTGAAAATAAATTACTGAAGCAAAAATATCTTCACTGACCCACTGTACCTCCTGACCCACTGTACCCCCTTCTCCCCTAATCGCTGCAAAAGTGAAATATTTCTTTCAATAAGACTTTTAATTATCTATTTTAATTTTCCAGGTCAAGCCCCTTCTCAGCATGGCTCGCGTCGAGGACGAGATCAAGGAGTTGGAGGACAAGCTCAAGAAGGCTTTAGATTCTCTAGAAAAGGAAGAAAAATTGAGAAAAGATTTAGAACATCAAAATGTAAAACTGTTGCAAGAAAAGAACGATATGTTCTTGCAATTGGAATCTGAAAGAACTGGATCTGGAGATATGGAGGAGCGTCTTGCTAAGACCATTTCCATCAAGAATGATCTGGAAGGACAACTCCAGGTGTGTATGAAAAAATAACAAATTTTAAACTTTATTTCACCACAGAAAGTTTCTTTTATTCATTAAAAGCTATAATAAATTTTAAAGAATAATATTTAGTTAACACAGACATTAAAAAATACAGTTTCAGTTTAATATTGACTTTCTAGTATTTATGTATAAAAACATAACTTATTTCTCAATTTTTTGCATTCCTCATTATTTAAATCAAGTTCAATCAACATTTTGTACTCACACGATCTTCTTTAATCAATTCTATTAAAAAAATAATCAGTTAAATTATTAACAGAGTTGTTTATTTAAATAAAATTGAACAAATAATAAAAAATGATGATAATAAAATGTTTAAAAAATATTCTTCATACTTAGACTTGTATTTTGAGGATAAATTATGGTAGACATACGGTTAATTTGTTATTGCGTTAAAAAGCATTTTCAAATTTTAAAAAAAAGTTTTTTTTTTCAAAAGAAATGTATGAATGTCTTCAAACTCAACAATTTTCTGAACAGATATTCTTTGGTTAAGAGTCTAAGAGGATATGTAAAAAGGACTACAACTGTCTGGGTTTGTTTAAAGTTATGTCTGCACTGTACAAATAAAAGATTGATTTTCAGAAGCGATAACGAATTCCTTATGAAACAATTAACACAAAGAAGCTTGTGAAAACCCTTCAAGGTTATATTTTCTGCATTTCTTGTAATGAAAAAACTGTAAACAATCAGAATCTGTCATGAGGCAGAAGAAACTTAAGCATACTTTTAAGGAATACATTTTAGTTCCTAGAGTTTGTTTTTATTTATTCGAAAACTTGTTCTTTTAAAGGGTAACAAAGTAATTCTTGTTCTCTATCATAAACCATAGATTAAATTAAGTTAGGCAAAAAAAAAAACATCTATATAGTTTGAATTAAAAAAAATCAACCGATTTTCGCCATTCAAACCATTAATTCAGAACTCTGAATTAAGTCACTAATTCGGATCAGGAAACGAAATGTGGTGATTTGAATCAGAAATGAAACATTTGAAATATTCCTTTATTCAACTCATAAGAATTTTTAGTCTGAAAATTTAAATTAAAACAGCAATTCAAATTCAGAGTAAAATACCTGCATTTATTAATTCGAATCGAAACATTGAATCACTTTCAAATTGATGATTAATTGGACTTTTCTTATTAAATTATTGGAATATTAATGAAAAATTCACAATATATTAACACAAACTAGTAATTATTTAAACAACACGTAATAAGATAAGAATTATGCTATAAAATAATCCAATGCTTAAATTACTTAACATTACTTATATATAACTTAAAATTTAAGAAAATGTAGATGTATTTATAAAATACCTTTAATTTTAAAAAATCAGGGTGCAAAAGGATAATCCTAGCTTGCCACTAGCTTTTTTTTCGAAAACATTTATTTAAGGAAAATGTTTCACAAATAATTTCGCATTTTACTTTCAACGAATTTAATTTTATTTACTATTACGGATTTATGGAAGAAATAGAACAATGGAATTAGATAAGAAGATTTATAGATATATAGAAGAAGACTTTAATTTTAAAAATATTTCTTAAGCATTGCTCAAAAAACAATAGAATTAACTCCCAGTAAAATTTTACCATCAGTAAAACTATGTTTTTCTGTTTATTACTATAAGTTCCTACTGAATTGAAAACGAAGAACAGTGAAGATAATATCATTTTGTTGTTGTTTTATTAACATTTTGTCATTCTTTTTCAATGCGATTTTTTTCAATGCCTTTCTATGTTATATTTGCCAAATCTAACCGATTAGAGTTTGAGATTTTGACTCAAACCATGTTACGTTTCAAACCATGTTACGTTGTAAGAGAAATTGATGAAATCTGAATCGTTTCACAATTCTGTTTGAAACTCCAAACTGATGCAAAACTTAAATTTAAAATAAAAATGGCTCTTCAATAAATGAAGCAAAGCATCTTTCCTATGTTATTTTTGGAAATTCTTATGACAAGCTTTAAAAACTATTTCACAAACCATGTTACATTTTAAAAATCTTTTGTTTGAGAAATTCTGTAAAACTAATTTTTTTCTTCTAAATTCCATTTGAAAAAAATTATGTTTCTAATTACAAATAAATCAAAACGTCCTCCCTGATATCAACGCTAATTTTATGCTATCGTCAGCATTATTTTTAGATTTAGTGAGATATCTCAGTCTCGGGTAAGGACGTTCCTTTTAAAATAGCGAGATATTCAGAGTTTTCCTAAAGTTATTTGGCAAAATATCAATACATATATTTATGGCACTTTCTATTTCCGTGTCTGATTTTGATGGATGATGCCTAGAATTATGAGGCATGGCACCTTAAGTTTATGTATTAGGTTAATTCACAAGTCTTAATATTTTATTTCAGAAAGTATTTCTTTCTCTCATATATTTAATATTTAATCGATAATATTTCATTATAATAGTTTTGATTCAGTAAAAAGAATTAATAGACTTGCTTTACAAAAAAAGAATAATATGCATATATACCAATATATATGAATAGCTTGAAGAAGTATAATAGTAAACCCTACTTCTTCCAATGGATTTTGAAATCAAGCTGTTCCTTAGCACTGTTCCTAGATTGGGGCTTTACAAATTTCCAAAAATTTTCTTAAATAACATCACATTGCACAAACTTCTTGTTTCCTTCATGGCTATCGTAGAATTTTATTTTTAATAATAACACTCTACTGTAAAATTTAGAAATGTTGCTCATCAAATTGAACCAAATCTTTACACATATATATTGATAAAAAATTTTGTTCGCTAAATTCGTTGAAATATTCTAATTAAAATAGAAGAAAAGTTTTGTAAATAAATAAAACTTAATAGCATTTTTTGTTAAGTTTCTGAAGTATAAGGTTCATCAGACTATTAGATTTTAATTTAAAGGCATAAAATTGCAAAATTGAATTGGATAAAAAAAGTGAAAAAACTTGGTAATTTTAACTGGAGCAACAGTTATACAATTCTTCCTTTTAAAAGAAATCAACTTCATCGCACTTAATTCGATGTATCATTGAAAACAGCTTCATGAAATATTATTTGAACAGAAAGATAAAAAATAAAATGAATATCAATATTGTATGTATTTCTTAGATGTTGTTACAGATGTAATGGATTACTTTATCTTAACTTGGCATCCAATCCTAAAGAGCTATGATTAATATCTTGACAGAGAAACCTCGGCGTCCTGATTAACAGTCGTGCGTGTCATTTTAACTAAAAGTAATTCAAAACTCTCCTCTCGAAGGATAAAAACATAGGCACTTATGCCAAAAATCGAGTGAGAGGAAATCTTTCAGTCCATCCAAAACGCGGGGGAGGAAAAATATTTTTTACCCCCTTCAATTCTGAGTCACAATCGTGCTCTGATTATTCCATCTCGAATGAAACTTTTCATTTTAAGCACTCATTAACGACGCCGACTTGGTGCTTCTAAGAAGGTTTACTTCGGTTTTCTTGCACTTCAGTAATACAAAAGGAATAAATTAATGCAAACAATTTATTCATCAGTCTAGGTATAATTGTTATCAGAAAAATCAAAGCAAACGATCATAAATATTTCTCGATTCTTGTGAAAAATTTAGAAATAGCAAACGATTTATAATCGGTTCTAAATTTCGTGAGAAGACATAAAAGAACAAACGATTTGAAAATTGCTATCATTCATTGTGAGAAAGCATAAAGGTGCAAACGATCAAGTGGATTAATTTCAGAAATACATATTTGTTTAAAGAAATTGGAATTATTGCAACAAGCTAAATCAACATTAGAATTCTTACTTGATTAAATTATTTTACAAATATAAATATCATTTTTTAAATATGGCTGCAGTTGGAATTAAAAATTCAGAAAACTTCATGTATGAAAATGACAAAATGAATAATCATATGGATCTTGCAATTCGTCTACAGGAACTTCAAGAGAGGTTATCTCACGAAGAAGATGCCCATTCTAACTTGAACCAAAATAAAAAGAAATTAGAAGGCGAGATGTCAAATCTGAAGAAAGAAATCGAAGATTTGCAGCTCGTTATCCAAAAGGTAAGTTATATTTGTCTTCTTTCATTTTTATAACGTTTTATATTTATTAGTTAATATTGACCTTATTAATTAGTTATTATTATGGTCTTTTTTTTTGCAAAACCTTCGAGTATAATCTGATTTTTAAAAACTTTATATAAGAATTAACTATTTTTTAAAATTTTTAATAATTTAACGGTTTTAAACCTGTAACATTTCATAATGTAATGTGATTTCAGAAAAAGTCTGAATTACGGTGTTTGCTAGATTTATTTAATGAAAAGAAATTTTAAAAAATTATATAAGATCATTATTGTTCTTTGGTTATAAAACTTGCGATTTTAAAAAATTCCAGACGTGAATTTTTAATTTTTAACAAAATTAAATATTTCTAGTTAAAAATTTCGAACAGAGAAAGCAAAGAATAAATTTATTTTGAAAATTATAATTTTTTTTTATTAACAAAAGAAACTTTTGACATTGAAAATGCTAAATATCTAGGAAAGGCTTTCTAATATTACATTAGGCATTCTATGGTGTTGATTTCTAAAGTCGAAGAAAAATAATCACACGCTGTTTTGAAAGGGTTGTAGTAATTTACATTATTAGTTCTAAACAATTGGATAATTAACTTGAATTTTGTTTCGAATACAAACCTAGGACTTTACTACTCTTAATTCCCACCTAAGATGAGTGGTTCGTGAATTTCTCGACACTTGAAAGCATCCGTTTGGTTCCTGTAGCTTTTAATTATTTTTGCATTATAAACAATAAAATGCATATCACTTCTTTATATTCATAGGCTGAGCAAGACAAAGCTTCTAAGGACCATCAAATTCGCAACTTGAACGACGAAATTGCTCATCAAGATGAACTCATCAACAAATTGAACAGGGAAAAGAAACAACTGCAAGAAATGAGCCAGGTAAATTATTAATATGTTTATTAACGATCTTATCTTTTAGTGATAAAAATATAAACCTATTGAAGTTGAGGCATCTAATATACATACGTATAACAATAATGCCAAATCTTTAACATAATGCACGTATTTAATAAGAATATTAAGCATAAAATATGTAATAACTATGGCATTTAAATAACTTAAAATCATAATTGTTTAAATTTCTTAAGATGAAAGAGAATAAAATATGATTCTTTTTCCCGAATTAATCATAAATAAGAAACATGCAATTGTTTTTAAAAGAAATAATCTTTCTAATTTCGAACGATCTCTATTTCAAACTTTTCTCTTAATTGCAATTTCTCTTTGCAATTTCGATCTTTTATGCACTAAGTCTCATATGAAAAAACATGCTTTCGCATAACAGTATTCTTAACATCACTCATAGTTTCCTAAAATCAAAATATTAATGGTATTATTTTATTTATTTTTATTTTTAACTCTTTTCTATTTTAAAAGTAATTATAGAAATAAATTCAGAGTATCGAAAATGCGTTAATTAATGACTTTAAAACATTTATTAAAATATTTTAACTTTCATGCTGTTGCTTGGAATAATTTAATAAAAATAAACCACTGATTAATTACAGAAAACCGGAGAAGATCTCCAGGCCACCGAAGATAAACTGAACCACATGAACAAAGTGAAAGCCAAGTTGGAATCCACCTTAGATGAGGTAAGCTTTTAATTCTAAAAAACAAACTTCTCATATTATCTCTTGTTGCCACTGAAAAAAAGTAATAATTACTATTTCAATTGTAGTTGGAAGACTCATTGAGCCGAGAAAAGAAACTTCGTGGTGATGTTGAAAAGAATAAGAGGAAAATCGAGGGAGACCTTAAACTTGCCCAAGAAGCTATCGCTGATCTCGAGAAGAACAAGAAAGAAATTGAACAGGCTCTGCAAAGGTAATTAGGATGTTTTTTAAATTTATTTTCCATTTTTTAAGAAAAAATATGAAACTATGATTACAATCTAAAGAGTTTTCTAATCAGCCGATCTAATCAGTTTTCTATACAAATAAATATAATGTACTTCTCGTAATCATAAAATACTACTTATTTAGATATTAGAAACATATAAAAAAAATTATATCAGTTGATTTAAAACAAAAAACTTAAGATATGGCAAATTTTTAAAGACATCCTATAATCGTAAAAAAATTATAAACGTTTCTACAAATAAAAATGTAATTCCAGGAAAGAGAAGGAGATGGCTAGCTTGGCTGCTAAGTTGGAAGATGAGCAAAGTCTTGTTGGAAAACTCCAGAAACAGATCAAGGAGCTTCAGGTATAGCCTAAAAATAAAATATTTCTTAATATAGATCACAGAGATGAAATTGATAAATTCGTAATGTAAAAATATGCCAGTTAATTTTTAATCTTTTTAGAGAAACTTCTTAAAAGCTAGAATAAGAATGTTAGAACCATCACTTCATTTGATCTATTAGGCTATCCGTCAAAACAAAAGCAAGTAGAAGCAGGCATTAAGCCAAAACAAATCGGGATGGAAATTAAACTGGGTAGACTCATTTGTAAATAAATGTCTAACATTTTCTTAAACACGTTTTTTAAATGAAATAAATAAACGAGATGGTAGTATAAATTTAGAAAATATCATTAAAAAAAAGACAAGAATTTCATAAGAAATAAAACTTTTTTAATAAAATAATTAATTCGTGCTCCTATGAAATTAATCCTCTGATATATCAGCTTTTTTAAAGGGCACAAAAATTATTTTTAATTGCATAAACATCGCTTCATACAGAAAATATTTTCTTCAAGTTTAAGTTACATTAAAATTGGAACATTTTAAAATAATTATTAATATCTAACTATCATAAAGCATCCTCATCCATTTTGTAAAATTATTCAAAATGTTTTAAAAAAACTGCTTCGGTTTTTGAAAACAGGGAAGTAATTTTGTTTACGCATTACACATTATCACATAAATGCCTGTACTGATTCCAGACCGCATTCCTACATAAATATCATCAGTTGGAAATTGAATGGAATTATTCCAACGGTATTTTCTTTCTTTTTTTCTAAAAAGAAAATATTGACGACATTTATTGTGCTAACGAGACAAGGCTGAGCTAGATAATCCAAATGGAATTCAGACTTGTCTGTTTCATGCCTGGTAAAAGTATCATCACTTAGTTTGTCACGCTTATTCCCCTTTTTAACCACCCCAAAAAGGTAACAGAGACATTCTAATATTTTCCTCGCATGGCGGGAGCTTGTGACTCACCCGCTCACGCCTTGTCATTTTCAGCGTTCATTTTTGGAACATGACGATGGAGGGGATAGAGATGATTCCTAAAGATATAGGATTACCACTCACTTTGGCAAAACTTAGTTTCTTCCACATCTCCAGAGTTGTCCTTTCACTTCCTCCTCACCCTTGGCACTGGTTAACTTCACGGCTCGTTAGCTTTGAGTTAAGAACAGCTCTGAATCCATTGTATTAGGATTAAGCCACTAATTCTTTTGGATTTCGTGTGTTAGAAAGTTGAACTTACTTTTCAAATATGGATAGCATCGAGATATCCGAAATCGAAACGACCAAAGTCCAGAACGGAATTACCAATGGATTAACGAACGGTGACCACTTAGCATCGCAGCAGAAAGATATAAGTGAAACTATAAGGAAAATCAAAGCTTCTGTGGCCAGTACTTCAGTTAATTATTCCAGCAACCCACTTCAAAGCACTATGCTTCGAAAGGATATATTTTACCCATATCAGAAATGTCAGTACATTTCTCCCAATTACAATTTGAGCTCAGATAGCAAACGGATGGTCAGGAGATTGCAAGAACCTTGTTTCGCTTCCACACCAGGAACTATCCATTTGACTTATGAAGTAGGGCGTTTTTAAAAATTTCTATTATGCTGCTACTTGCTCTTTTGCTATGAAAACATGTCTGAACAAGTTTGAAGCTAAGCACATGTTCTTCTCTATCTGCTTCTCTCAGTTCTCTGCTTACAAGAAATCTTCGTAACCAAAACAACTTCATGTAAGATAACAAAGAAATTTCGCTTATATTATTAAAATAGAAGGAGTTTTAAATCTATAAAAAAGTTAATAATGCTAATTAATATACTAAAAAATGCTTACTTTTTAACAACTTTCAATTCTAAAATCTTACAGTGAATCAAGCTTTATTCTATAACAGTGACTTTCGTATTACAATAAATAAGAGCATTAAAAAAAAGCTATATTTGTTTTAACAATTGGAATATTTGTTTCTAATGAACTTTTTTTTAAAAATCTTTCATATCGCTTCTAACACATTTTGTTTCAATTATAGGCCAGAATTGAAGAATTGGAAGAGGAGTTGGAAGCTGAAAGACAAGCAAGAGCCAAGGTAATTATAAATTTCGACATTATTTATTTTATTAATTGTAATTCAACTCAATCTAATTCTCTATTCAATCATATTCTTTTGACGCACATTGCTTAAATGTGTTAATTTTTAAATTCAAAAATAATAATTCAATAGATTTAGTATTCTTTAAAATAATATTAAAACAATTTATAAAAATACTGTAATAATTAATAAATATTATAATTATTATATAAAAATCATCAAGATGTTTCTTTTAGTTCATTCTTGTCAATTCACTACAAAAATACAGTTTTTTGGATTAATGTAATTAAATTTTACAAAAGTCAACCACATAATGCTAGTTTATATAATTTCATTTTATAAGTTACAAAATTTCCTTAATTTTTTATTTGAATTTTAATCAGAATTTCTGCTTTGTAACTCAATAGGCTGAAAAACAACGTGCTGAGTTGGCTCGTGAAATTAGTGAACTTAGCGAACGATTGGAAGAAGCTGGTGGTGCCACCTCTGCTCAGGTTGGTAAAAGTTATTAACTTATAAAATTTTATGGTTTAGATTGCATTAAAATTCATATTTTAAATGTATTTTTAAATTATTTTGTATCTCTTTGAATAGGTTGAGTTGAACAAAAGGCGAGAAGCCGAAATGGCCAAGCTGAGACGAGACTTGGAAGAATCAAACTTACAACACGAACAAACTCTAACGAACTTGAGGAAGAAACACAACGATGTTGTTGGCGAGCTTAGTGAACAAATTGACCAACTGAACAAACACAAGGCCAGGTAAGCATTAAAAAATTGCTCATCCAGTTCATTTTCAATGATAAAATATTTAGTCGTAAATGATTACCTAAATATTTCACAAACAGAAGTCTAGAGGAAAAACATGTTATTTTAGTGAGATTGAGAAAATGAAGCTTTTGCGGAATTTAGCAAAATAAATCATTGTTTTAGATTTTGCGACCACTACATGTTATGAAATCAAGAAATTTGACTGTTTTATAAGTGTCCTTAACATGTTATTCCTCTAAGATCTTCAGAAAAGCATCTTTCCGACAGTTGTTTTGTTTTTAAATTAAGGAATAATTCCTATAAAATTCATAAACAGGTTAGAAAAAGAGAAAGCACAAATGAAAGGAGAACTTGACGATGTTCGATCTAGCGTGGACCATGTTAACAAAGAAAAGGTACATAAAGCATGGTGTGAATACGATAGTGTGATTGCTTACAACCTGAAAAATAAGCTAACTCCCTTAAATTTGAAATTGAAACATTCTAACATTGAAATATATACAGTATATTAACACTTATTTTTGTTCATTTTTTAAACAAGAAATTCCCGGTCTATGTCTGTATGTGGAGAATAATAATAAATTATTTAATAGTTGCAAATATATTATCTAAATATTACAAATATCAGTATTATAGCTAGAAATAATAAGATATGCACTTTTGTAGGGACTTAAGTTTTTATTTCTGATCTTTTTGAAATAGAAATTTGACTCTTGTTGATATAACGTTCTTGATTTATAAAATTAACAAAGAAGATGTGTGAAATTAATTTTAAAAAAAAGGTTCATAATTTTTTGAAAATTCTTAACAAAAATTTTTAGCAAATAAAAAGATATGTAATTTAGGAAAAATGTTCATTTGCGTCGTTTTCGGAAGAAGCAAAATTTGCCTCATTCTATCATGAGAATTTATTTAGTTTAAGCCACGATGTGAGAAAAACAATACTAAATGGTATGTGCATGGTTAAAAATTTCTCATTCAGTTTTATAGTTTATTTTGAAGAAAAAAGAGACTTAATATTAAATATTCCAGATATTTTATTACTCATCCAGCTTATTCTAAATACGCATGCTCCTATGTTTTATTTTCCCTTCCTTATATTAGTTTGCATGAAGGTGATTAACAGCCCATCCTTTTTACCATTATGTCACGTGCAATTCAGAATTGAAAACGAAAATGCAACCTATTACCAAGAACATGATGAGCTGCAGATATCTCTGGATTACATGTGTAGAAAAAAGGTAAAAATAAATGCATGAAAAATAATTATTATTTATTTAACCTTTATCTGTATCCACAATAAGTAACTGCATCTTCACCAATTTTACGTGTCTCATCCGTGAGCACTTTCTATTATTCGAAACAGCAGAGTACTTTAATAACTATAAATTCCATATATTAGGCAAATGCTGAGAAACAAGCTAAGCAATTGGAAATGCAACTGGGAGAACTCCAAGGCAAGATGGACGAGGCCCACAGGTCATTGGGAGATCTTGATGCTGCTAAGAAGCGACTCACTGTTGAAAACAGTGAATTCCAAAGACAATTGGAAGAAGCCGAATCTCAGATTAGCCAACTTAGCAAACTCAAGATGTCTCTGCAAACTCAACTCGATGACGTCAAACGCATGGCTGATGAAGAAAGCAGGGTCAGTATTATATATATATATTTTAAAAAATAGTTGCTAAAAGCAAAAATTTAAATTTGGTTGGATGTTAAACTTATTCCAATTTTATCTACTTAGGAAAGAGCAACTGCAATGGGCAAATTCCGAAGTGTGGAACATGATCTTGATAGCTTCCGAGAACAACTTGAAGAGGAACAAGAAGGCAAAGCTGACCTCCAGAGGCAACTGAGCAAAGCCAACGCTGAAGTTCAATTATGGAGATCCAAATACGAAAGTGAGGGTCTTGCCCGATTGGAAGAACTTGAAGAATCAAAGTAAGTTCGCTTTGAATTGTCAACTAATCAATATAAGTCTGCTAACAATCAGGGCCACATTTCAGCTTAACATCTATTTATTTATTTATTTATTTATTTATTTTTATCAATTAGAATTATTAAATACTCAGTTATCTAAAGCTTAAGTTTATTGTTAGCGAAAAGAAAGGAATTTGATATTAAACATATTTTTAATTCCCATTTGAAAGAAATTATAACTTTTTAACTGTTACCGCAATTGTAATGTCAAAACTTGAGTATTCAGATTCGAAGTCATTATCAATTTTTTAATTAATTTGGAATATCTTTCCTTGTTTTTTCGTTTATTAATTTCGAAGTTCATGGCAATAATTTATTATTACATTTTAAAAACCAGAAAATTCACGTATGTTACTGAGTTTTAAGTTGTTGTTTTTTATACTCATGGCGAATATATTTGATATTTTAGGAGGAAACTCGATGCCAAACTTCAAGAAGCCATGGAAACTATTGACCAACTCAATGCCAGATGCAGTGGTCTTGAAAAGACCAAGTCCCGACTACAAGGTGAACTTGAAGACATGACCATCGAAGTTGAGAAGGTATGAATTACTTAAAATAATTAAACATAGTTTATTTAATGAATGAATTTTTCAAATAATTAAAGGTGCACTGTTTTTTTATAACAGACTAATTGATTCTGCTTTTCAATTCAGGCCAACTCTCTCGCATCTGCTATGGAGAAGAAACAGAAATCATTCGATAGAATTGTTGCTGAATGGAAACAGAAGGTCGATGATTTGGCTGCTGAATTAGATGCTTCCCAAAAAGAATGCAGGAACTATTCCACTGAAGTATTCAAGCTCCGATCTCAATATGAAGAAAGTCAAGAACATTACGAATCCGTCAAGAGGGAGAACAAGAACCTTCAAGATGAAATCAAGGACCTTGTTGACCAACTTGGTGAGGGTGGAAGGAGCGTCCATGAATTGGAAAAGGCCAGGAAAAGGTTGGAAATGGAAAAAGAAGAACTTCAAGCTGCTTTGGAAGAAGCTGAGGCTGCTCTTGAACAAGAAGAAAACAAAGTACTTCGCGCACAGCTTGAGCTTTCTCAAGTCAGACAAGAGATTGACAGGCGACTCCAGGAGAAGGAAGAAGAATTTGAAAACACAAGGTAAAATCTTTAAACATCACTAGAAATTATTTCATTACTACTAATAAATATTCTCATAACAAATTTTCACAAACATTACAGGAAGAACCACCAACGTGCCATTGATTCCATGCAGGCCAGCTTAGAGGCTGAGGCTAAGGGCAAGGCTGAAGCTCTTAGAATGAAGAAGAAGCTTGAAAGTGACATCAACACTCTTGAGATTGCTTTGGATCACGCCAACAAGGCCAACGCCGAAGCACAAAAGAACATTAAGAAATACCAAATCCAACTTAAAGAAATCCAACAAGCTCTTGAAGAAGAACAGAGAGCACGAGATGAAGTTCGTGAGCAATACGCCATGTCTGAAAGACGATGCAACGCCATGCACGGAGAACTGGAAGAAAGCAGGCAGTTATTGGAACAGGTAAAAAATAACTTCCATTTAAAAATTCTAATTTAGCTCAATGAATTAGATTAATCAACTTCATGATCAAAATTTAAACCTGATTTCTTTTCTAGGCTGACCGTGCTCGACGTGCAGCTGACAGCGAACTTGCCGAACTACACGAAAATGTTAACGAACTATCTGCTCAAAACTCATCTCTTAACATGGCCAAGAGGAAACTGGAAGGAGAAATGCAGGCTCTGCATGCTGATTTGGATGAAATGTTGAATGAAGCCAAATCCTCAGAAGAGAAGGCAAAGAAGGCAATGGTTGATGCCGCTCGTCTTGCCGATGAATTGAGAGCTGAACAAGAACACGCCCAACAACAAGAAAAGATGCGCAAGGCTATGGAAGCACAAATTAAGGAACTCCAAGTCCGCCTTGATGAAGCTGAAGCTGCTGCATTGAAGGGTGGCAAGAAAATCATCCAAAAACTTGAACAGAAGGTATAAATTTTAAATTATAGCCAAAGTTCAAACTAATTATTTATTTAGTGAAACCAATTATGTATCGATAATATCAAGACATTATAGTTACTTAAATTTCTTTTGTGGAGGTTGCTACCATAAAAAAATATCACTTACTAATTTTTCGAAGCGATAGCAACTACAATAGTAAATCTGCATTTTTTAATAAAAACATGTTATCATTTTTTGATTTATAAGAAAAAATAAGTTTGAGAATTTGAAGTCAATACCATAAATATTTATATACAACGATAAGTATTTTGATAATAATCGTTCTTTTTTTGTTAAGAAGAAAAGGTGTGTATCGGAATAGAAAAGATTTTATATTTAAGCTTTTTCTATTTAATGCCTACCTAACATAGTTATTTCGTCCTTAGTTTTTTTCAGTCCTTTGTTTTTTTCAGTTTTTTTTATTACATAGCTATTAATGCATCCTATACATAGCTATTTAGTTATACAAGGAACTTAAGTTTTGCTGGGGCTTTTTTTTTCGCTTTTTCCAGATCAAAATTTTAACTAAATTATAGTTAGATTTACAACTTAAACATTTTTTTTTATTCTTCTTTAATTATAAATTCAGGAATGAAAAAATTGATGAATTTGTTAGGCCGTATTTTTGCGGTCAGCATGCAAAACCAGATTTTTGAGTGTAAAGAAACATCAGGGAGCTGATAACAAATTATATTGTTACATATTTTCTTAAAACGTTATAAATAATAGCTCTATACTTGCAGACAATAATAGAATCTTTAACCAGAAAATTTGATTTTTTTTTTCAAAAATGGTATCTCCCACTAAACTCTTTAAACAATTAAATACTTTTTAAAATAGTGTTGAAACCTAAATGACTCTTTTAGGTTCGAGAACTCGAAACTGAGTTGGACAATGAACAGCGACGTCATTCTGAAGCAGCTAAGAACGTAAGGAAATCTGAGAGACGCGTGAAAGAACTGCAATTCCAAGCCGATGAGGACCGCAAGAACCATGAGCGTATGCAGGACCTTGTCGACAAACTCCAGCAGAAGATTAAGACATACAAGAGACAGATTGAGGAAGCCGTAAGTACCACTCTTGCTCAATTTTCTTATTATTATCAAAGAAACTTAGATATACGCACTACTGTTACTGGCGAGATTTATTTTTATTTACCACTGTTACTGATGAGACTTATGTATAAGTACTACTGTTGCTGATGAGACTTATATATATGTGCTACTGTTACTGATGAGGCTTATATATACGTACTAGTGTTACTGATGAAACTTATCCACTGTAACTAAGCAACTTACTAAAATTAATTAATCATAGAAGAACGAATGGAACCGATTTGGCCTTCTCTCGTTTTTTGTTACTCTGTAATTCAAAAACTAACTTACAGGAAGGGTTGAGTATTTCTCACTTTTTATAATTTGATCCAATTTAAGTGCTTTATGGGTTAGCCTTATAGAAACGTTTATGTAGAACGCTATACCTAGAATGACGGGAGCAGCCAGGATAGTCCGTTATGTAATTTGGTAGGAGTCCCATAACCCTAGAAAGTTTTTGATGTTAGATACCCTTTGGTATATATAAGGTGCCCCAGTTTCAATTAAAGAACAAGATCATTTCATCATATCTATAATTATTATTTATGGAGAAAGGTAAGCTCAATTATCTAAAAAACTAATGTGTACTCATTATTAAAAAGCCAATGTTCCGTTTAATTTAACATTTTCGATAGCAAAATCCAATAACAAACATAGAATTTTGATGATCAAGCCTTTAAAAAAATTTTATTAAATTTATTAGGTTTATAATTTAAGATTTTGGATGTCTATTTGATCTACATATAAACAATCTGGGAAGGCCCTAACTATCACCTTCAGAAATGATCAGTCGTTCAAGTGTAAAACCTTGCTTAATGCTATTAAAGGAATTCATTTACTTAACTGCTACTAAAGAAGAAATTTGTTATTCAAGATGCTAAAAAGTCCATTCCAGCTACTAAAACAGTTACTATTTTATGAAAAACTTAATTACTGTTATTAAATCAAACTTATTGCAATTCAAAGATACATATTGTTACGAAAATAATTAATTATTTACTGTTATTAACAAAATTTACTGTTATAAAAAATATTTATTTATATTGAGATTTATAATTAAAGATACTTGCTTTCTGTTACTAAAGATATTTACTAAACTAAGATTGCTTTCCATTAAAGAAATGCACATGATCAACAACATTAACTTAAACTATTCTGATGCTTACAGGAAGAAATCGCTGCTCTCAATTTGGCCAAATTCCGTAAAGTACAACAAGAGTTGGAAGATGCTGAAGAGCGCTGTGATCTAGCAGAAAATGCAGTTGCAAAACTGAGAGCCAAGAACCGAAGCTCAGCATCAGTGGGACGTGCCGCTAGCCCAGTTGTAAGCGAAATTTATCGATATTTGTAATACCTTATAAATTAAATATATTATTTTTTCAAATTAAACAAACATTTCTATTAAAGTTAAAATTTTTAAACTGTACGAATTTTTAAATAATTAACTCTCACTTTTATTTAAATGAAAGGAAATCTGTCATAACCTTTTTGAAGAAAAAGTAAGCGGCAATGCTAAAATGTCTAGTTTTAATTTCTGATAATTATATTTACTCTTTAAAAATTAGCATTTAGAGATAAAAATGTACAATATTTAGAGAAAATCAATATAGAACTTATCAGAAATTTATATATAATGCAAAGCAATTGCTTATTGTAATTATTTTGGATTATATAAATTTATACTGATAGCAATAATAACTTATTCCTAACTTGAATATTAGCGTTTTTATTCAGACGCAATTAATATAAACTGCGTTTGCCATTTTCTATTGCATTGCAACATAATTTTGCTTTTTGCACTTGCAAATATTATTTTGAATTAGCATTTTTACAATCTGTGCTTTTATTTTTTTAAACTATACTTTAATTTTTTAAACTATACTTTTTTTTAACTTATACTTTTGTTTTCTAAAATATCGCTTTTTGTAATTATATTATTTTTATTTGTAACACCTTGCTAATGCTAACCGCAACCATCAACATACTCAGAAACATAGTTTTTTAAAACATTCTATTTACATATCTACCCTTCTATTAACTATAGTACTAGCTGACAGAAGGGTTTTTGATATTGTAATTTTTGAATTAAATCTTAAAATTGTAATTAAATCCAAAAGAGAAATACGCTCCTTAAAAAACTATGTATTTCTGAGTGTGTATATCCCTTATTACCTCACTCAAATTATAAATGCTTGCTGCTTTTCTTACGCAAAGCTAAGCTATCGCATTCTTATTATACAGCCAATGCTCAAGGGACGACCAAGATCTAAAATTGATGTTGAAGAGTAAGATGGAACGATTCTTGTAATTATTTAGGTGAGATTTATTTATTTTGATTATATCATAGAATAATTTCAGGTATAACCCCTGTTGCTTATGATTATAACAATCTATTAAAAAAATAAAAATATATAAAGTCTTAACTCTTAAAACTATTTCAAAAATATTGTTAGAACAATCTGAATCACTTGCAAACTCAAATAGTTTTGCATTTGAAGTTTATAATATTATAAAAGAATAATGTAGAATGTAATATCAAGGCAATGATTTTCGAAAATAAAATTTTGAAATTATTGCTATCTACATAATATCAACTCAAACAATATCAAACTTAGAATATCTTCCAACTATTATCTTAGTAAAAAAGTTTACCGAAAGTTAAATATAGCAGCATAATTCTAGTTCTGATCAAACATATCAGAGCAAGAATTGCATTAGAACTAGAATCAAACTAGCGGCTGAAATTGAATCAGTTCTGCAAAGTTAAATCGGATTAAAATTTAACATAAATCTGATTCAATTCATCAGTTTGACTTCAACTACTCTCTTAGTATAAAGTTTACCGGAAATTAAATATCGAAACACAGATCTGGATTTGATCCAAAATATCAGAACTAGAATTGTATTAGAACTGGAATTTTATTAGAACTAGAATTGTATTAGAACTAGAACTCTATTAGAACTAGAATTGTATTAGAACTAGAATTGAACTAGCCTCAGAAATTGAATCAGATTTGCAAAGTTAAATCTCATTAAAATTTATCATAATTCTGATTCAAATCATCCGTTTGACTTCCATCTACTCTCTTAGTAAAAAGTTTACAGTAAGTTAAATATAGCAACACAATTCTAGATTTGATCCAAAATGTCAGAGCTAGAATTGTATTAGATCTAAAATTGTATTAGAACTAGAATTGTATTAGAACTAGAATTGTATCAGAACTAGAATTGTATTAGAACTAGAATTGAACTAGACTCAAAAATTGAATCGGATTTGCAAAATTAAATCTGATTAAAATTTACCATAATTCTGATTCAGTTTACCAGTTGATTCTATAATGGCGTTTTCTTTCCACAGCCGTCAACTGTTCATCTCCTCTCAAAACCTTCAAATTTTACCCCAGAAAATCTTTTTGTGCCTGCCTCAACAGTGCATTCTGCCTTTGCCGCCACTCCCCAATCCGTCATCAGTGTTGACGAACAGATCGAATAAAAGAAAAAGAGGAACATAGAAAAGAAAACGCGCTCTTCCACAACAGCCAAACAGCATCGCGCTTCCAAATACTTCTCATTTTTGTGGACTTTTAGGGGACAGAATCATTAGAAATAGTGCTTGATATATCACGGAATGAATTGCAAGAAGACAAAGGACTTCCACTAATTAAAGCCATTAAATGTTTATATAGCTTGCGAGATGCCCTCAGAGACAAGAAGTATTTGTAAAGCATGTGCTCTTGTATGTTTTTATGTTATATGTTGTTAAGTTGTCCACCCCCGATTCGATGTCTTTCTGCCTTGTGAGGAGATTGTGTAAGGGAAAACCCTCGTCCATCATAAGATCTGTACTTTAATTGTTTTCGAGATAATTTGTTGAAAAATAAATGTTATACACTTTCATCAGTATCCTCTGTCTTTTAAACATGCAGTAATGAAACATTTCTAGTTTGACTTTTAAGGCGCTTTAAAATGAAGAAGAAAATCACCTATAACACTTTGCAATCGAAGCTCCTTTTCAGATCGTTGATAAATAGAAAAGAACGGCAAGTTCAAACACTTTGCATTTAACATATTTCTTACAAATGCTTTAGAAATAAATGAATCACCAATTAAACACTGCTTTTAAAATGTTTCAATCTTTCAAAAACTTTGAAAAAGGAGTCCATTTTAGAAAAATAATGCTTTAGATTAATCTTTACCATTATTTTCTGCTGATGTTGTTTAGGATAAATAAAAAATTTAGGTAAAATTATTTGAAAGCATTGCTTCATAACTCTTGCTACAATATGTGCTTATTAACTTCTTTGATTTTATTTTGATAATTTAAGAATTTAAAGGTAACTAGTTATATCAATTTATTATATAATGCATTTTCATTTTCTTAACAAGTAAAAAATAATTTTTAACCTTTCAAGCATAAATATTTCTCACAAAATATTTTTAGCTATTTCACAAAAAATATTTCAACTACACAATTTTAAAAAAAAATATTTAAGAAAATTTTCACCGAAAATTTTTTTGTAAACAATTAAACAGTTAATTTCCTTTTAAAACAATTAATTTCTTATAAAAAATTAATAATTTTTTTAAAGAAATTTTTACTCAATCAATTTAATTTATAAATTAATCGAAATACTTTAAAAATTTACAGCACAATTGTTGAGAAGAGTTTTTTTATCAAACAATTTATGGTAAAAATCTTTGCTAGCTCTATAATCTGTATCGTTTTTTAAACTAATCCAACAGTTCGAACTAATTGAGACTTATAATATTAGAAATTTTAATATCATAATTTGAAAGTTAAGAATTAAACATTTTAATCATAAAGAAAATGCATTAATATTTTAAAAACATCTGGCATCATACGGCAGTATAAATGTCCTGCGAAATCCATAAGGTCAGTATAAGGATAAACTAAAGAAAGTTAAACTTTCCTTATAATTTGCTTACACCTCTTAAAGAATGTATTTAGCTAGTTCTAAACTTAGGTATGTTTTGTAGATCTTATAGTTTGAGAATACAGGCCAAGAATATGACGCATATATCAAACTCGTTTTCTTATTGTTTTCTTGTCCGTTTGCAAATAATGTCAAATACTTCAGTAGATATAGTATATGAATTAATGTACAAGGTCCTTGTAAAATTCAATAAATGGTGTCGATCTGTACTTAAGAATGGTTTTTATTTTTAACAGTTAATATTTTTGTATTTTCCGAATATATTTTTGAAATGGATAAACCAAAAACATATTGCAGTTATGACCTATATGGATTTCATTAGTAATGTTTTTGTTCAATAAACAATAATATACTAACTTACTTTTATTGCTTATTACAAGCAAATTAAAGAATACAAACTTTATACATATTCTTAATTGGAATATTTGTCAGTTTTTTTTAAAAATTTAATAAGGAAAATAATATCAAATGTTTTTCGAGAAAGCAATAGAATATTTTGTTATCTTTATATCTAACATTAAGTTAAAAAAATTTTTTTTGAAGTACATTTAATTGTTCATTAATAGATTCTAATGAATGTCACGAAAATTCATGCCACTTTAACAATTAAAGGGGCATTGCAGTGCAGGAATTAAATTGCAGTTAAATAATGCTAAAATGAGAGTTACTTTTCTTATTTTCCAAACAAATTTCATATAAATACAGAGCGAAAAGAAGAAAAAAAGCAGAGTTCGTAAAGATTCCTAACTACAACCCAACTGAGTAAAGCACTTGGTTTATGTTAAGGTTGGTTTATGTTAACATAAGGACGAAAATAATGGACAAAATCTCGAGAGTATTTTTTTTTCCTGATGTGATATGTATAGAAGCTGGTTACTATGTAATTCCAATCTAATTTGCCAAAATTTCTCATCGATTCTCAAAACTATATTTTCATGCTTGCAAATTAATTTTCTTTAAATTAATTTTATTAGTCATTAATGGAATCAAGGCTGACGCCAAGCTTAAGTATATAAGTTCTATGTCAAGATCCTAAAAGAAAAAAAACCGCTCGACCGTTGCCACTTCACATTGTTTTTCGTATACAATTGCAAGATTTCATAAGCAAATATATCCTTAGAAAAACCAATAATCGCAAACAACTTCCAACTTACACCATTTTTCAAAGCTTCTAAGCGTTTATGTTTAAAAAAAATCAGCGAATCAATATGATCAAGCGATCAATCAATCTTCGGGTACTTTTCTCGTAATGGCATTTTATTTCAAATAAAATGAACACAGGATAAAGTATATAATTGAATACAATGGAATGCAAGACGTCATGTAATGATTATACTGTTAAAAATTTCGCGCTTATAGTGAACAACAAAATGACGTAAATTAGTTGGCACCTCTTGCCGAGCCTTAACTATATTAATCAAACCATCAAATTAAACCATCTTAAACTTCATTACACTGCAGAAGATGCAATTTAATTGGAAGTATAATATAATTTAGCAACATATTAATATTTTAGAAAATTTTCACGGTATTAAGGTTCAACTTTGAACCGACTTTTCCTGGATACAGTTTAGAATCTTTGTAACAAACGTTGTGAGCAAACAAATTGAAATTTCGGAAGAAAAAGAAAAGGCTCTGCCAAGTTCGCCAACAAATATGGCTTTTTAGGCACTTCCGATTTCAACTCTGAAACTGCAATTTTGTAGACTATAAAGCCTTCCTCGGGCTATTCTACAAATGGCAACAGTGTCGGTAATGCAGATGTGCAACGAACTCTTATGCTGTGTACAGTGCGCAAAATAAAAAAACTGACCACCCTGAATAACTTTTGATCTCATGATCAGATCACCCTGTTTTGGGACTCCGCTTTAAGAACCACTGCTGTTGTGCTCCTGTTTTTTCCTTTATATATGTTCCTGACCTAACCTTGGGGGAGTGGCTTACATTATGTCAATGGAAGCTAGACTTCTTCCCCTATGTATATTCTTTGTACGTAGGGCTTCAAGTTCTCTACTCTATACCTCAGATAAGGAATAGCTGACAATTTTATTAAAGATAAGGCAGGAATTTCATAAAAACTTTTTTAAAAAGTATGAGCTTGTCCCAGTTTAACTGCTTAATGAGAATAAATAACTTTTTTAAAAAAAAAATAGAAACTTGAATATTTCACGTAACAATTTTGCCTTACAAAAGAGAATAAAAATCCAAAAATAAATGTAGAAATTATGATCCATAATGCGTTAAAAAAAATAGCTGAAACTAGAAAAAAGCAACAAAAAAAAACTGCCACGTCGCATTTCTTCTCTATTTTGATAATTCGTTTCCTTTAAACTAAATCTTTTTCGACGAAGAGATTTGCAGCTAATTATTACTTTCTTTTTAACCAGCAAACTGAGCTTTTTTTTTCTTCTTAATTTCCGTAATATGCTGTAATAGTTCAGCTATAAACAGAGCTATAAACTTCAGAATGAAAAAGACAATTCACTTCCAATTTGCATTCAAAAACGTCTCTTTTTATTTTTCTTTGATCATTTTTAATAGAAAGAAGTAATATTTTATATAACATCTAGATTATGTCTAATTTTACTGTATAACATCATCAAGTTGGGTGAATACCATTTTATAAGGTTCCTTTATAGGCATTATCTGACTTTCCAATATTTGGTATACACTGAAAATAAAAATTACAACATTTAATGGAATACAAATTATCTTGTTGTTCACGAGCCGTAAAACATAAAGAAGGAAAGAAATGGTTCACAAATTCACAAATGAGTAACTTTACGTAACCTTGACAAGAAGTGTCCATAGTAATCCATAACTGGATTAGTAACACTAGAAGAGATTCGTTTCAGTGAAAACCAAAATAACCAGTGTAAAAAGTTGAACTAAGCATTATTTTTCCGCCTCACTTGGATATGAGAAATTGAGCATGATAACTTTTTGAGAAGGAACATAATTGCTTTTCGAGTTATGTGAGAAGTTTGCGAGCAGGTAAAGTATAATTTTCGTTTTATAATCATTCGATAAATAACTATAAAGAAAAGCCTATCTAAGTAAATTGTATTTGTAAATGAAAAACTATGTATTTTCTGTATTCTATTTTTAAGAAGTCATATCAATAAAAGTTACTTAAAGAATAGTTTGACGTTAAAAAAAATTTTTTTTTATCTTTTATTTTATGTTCTTGTTTAGGAAACAGCAACAAACATTATTCAAATGAATTACACGGGGAAACATTTTTTTCCTTTTCTGTTACATGAAATTTTTCAACGAATCTTTCAGGTTTTCATGTTGCTGATTTCAAATCTGCAATCAGTTTCTCTCTCTAAGTTACAGTTTTTTTATTTTTCGAATGACATTTGTCTATTTTTTGTGGAAAAGTACAAGTTTAAAATCATTATACACATAACAGGAGGTCGCGTAAATGCTGCGATAAACTTCTAAAAGAGTTAAAGCACATCAGGATTAAAAGTGTATAGGAATCCATACCAGTAGAAAACCCATACCGGGTTTCTATTGGCATAAGCTCATTTCCGGCTTGGGTCGATTCTTTGGTATGTGGTAAGGGGTGCTTCCATAACATGAACTGATCAGAACTCAAAGAAATAGATCGTAATAGGGTAAACGACCCTAGCGGCGTTTGATTACATTTTGGGGTATGGGTTCCTATTGTGATGTGCCCTAACTCTAGAGATGTGCCCTCACTTCTCTAGAAGGTTGTCGCAACGTTTACGCGACCTCCTATTATATGTATAATAATTTCAAACTTGCGCATTTCGCCAAGACTTAAACTGTCATTTTTAAACAAAATTCTGTAGCCTTAGGAGCAAAACTTATTTCAAATTGGAAATCCCCACTCTCAAATCAGGTCAGATCAAGTATTTTTTTAAATGCAACAAAAAATTTGTTCCCTAGTTTCATTTTTCAATGAAAAAAATG